GCAAGGGAATGCTTTGGTTGGAATAGCTGAGAAGGTGAACCGATGGAACTCAGAGGAGAAAATGAATAGAAGTAAATGGACAGATAAAGTTAAAACTGAGAGCAAAGCTAATACTGAGAGGGTTGATAAAAATGATGCACTAAAAGAAGCTACAAGAACAACCAATAATGTCCAAAGTGGTGAAAGAAGAAAGGAAAAGGAAGATTGTGTTTCTGAAGAAACTAAGTCCAAAGAGGTTGGTGGTCCTCAACAAGGTAAAGAGGAAAAGGTTGTGCAGGAGACAACAACAACTAAAACTGATTTGAGTGAAGCAATAAACAATAAGAATGGTTTAAAGAAACATACTGAAAGAGAAAGTAGAGAAGTGAAAGAAATGGAGGAAAGTGTAGAAGAAAACACATTGATGGGAATAGCTGAGAAAGTGAATATGTGGAACTCCAAGGCTAAAAGGAATAGGAGAAGATATTCTATGGACAGAGGTAGAGGAAAAGGAAAAACAGGCAAACCTAATACAGAGAGAAATGAAGTGTTGCATGAAGCTTCAAAGAGAATCATTAACGTCAAAACTTCGGAGACAAGTAATACTACTTCAAAGGAAACAGTGGAGAAAGTTGTTGCTACACAAGAGATTAAGGACAAAAGAGAGAGTACTAGTAGAGAAGTAATGTGTGAAACTGAAGAGAAGGTAATAAGAAAGAAAGAGGAAGAGGTTTGTTCTGAAGGAGCCAAGTCCAAAGATATCATTGAGGTGAAAATCATGAGTTCTCAAGAAGTTATTATACCAATACAAGAATCTGCATGTCATGCCTCTCCAGAGACAAATCCTTTACCAAAAGGTGAAGAAATGTTTATTCAGGAAAATCTAAAAGACAAGTCTACTAAAGAGATTGATGGAAACAATATAATTGAAGAAGTCTCTAGTGAGAAGGCTAAAGAGAAGAATCCTACACAACAGGATGAAGAGGTGAAAGAAGTAGCAATAGAGTTTGCAAATGAATGGGATGAAAATGAAGAAGAAGATGATGATGACTATGAAGATTATTATGGTGAAATGTCGACTGATTGGATCTATGATATAGCGAGGCCTCGAAGTTACTGGGAAGAGTTGAGGAAAGAAAGGTATCTTGAGGTTCTCAACGCTGAATCAGACAAAAAGGATATATGTAACCTTATTCAGAGGTATATAACCTATGATCATTTCTTAAAGTTCTTTTATTCATTTAACTTTTGAGATTGTAATTTTTCTTTTGCGTATTGCTGCTCAGCCGAACAGTATCCAACTTTTTGACGAGTGACTTGCGACAGAAAATAGATAATTTGATGACCAGTCTCGTGCAAAATCACCTAACCGTACCAAACAATCAAGAAGTAGATGAAGATGAAGGAGAAGAAGAAGAAGAGTGGGTTGAAGAGTGCACAACAAGGAACCAAGAAAATAATGAAACAGAGGAAGAAGAACAAGAGAAGACAAATCTTGAAGCTGCAAGCGACAACACAATTCTTGTAGCTGATCTTGATGCTTGCAGCCAATCATCAGAGAGGAGTAGTACGTTGATGATTTCTTGGAGTTTTAGGGATCAAGATATTGACAAGGTTCACGAACCGACAGTGTCTTTGTCTCTCCCTGAGCCTTCATCCGCCACAAGTCAAACTGTGAGTTTTTTTTTTTTTTTTTTACTTTTTGTTCTGCTTTTTTCGACAAGTTAGGTTACGTGTTGGAGAAGGAAGCTAAGATCTTCACTTAAATAGACACAGGAGATGCAGATGATAAGTGAGCTCAGGGAACAAATGGAGCAGCTTCAACGAGAAATGCTTGAATTGAGAAACACCGTTAAATCTTGCACTGATATGCAACTTCATTTTCAGAAATCTGCAACTCAAGATTCTGGTCTCTCTGGTCAGTTTTTTTTTATCATCACATTAAACGTTTTAAAAATTCTTTAACTGATGAATGAACAATCTTTGTAGGCTCTTCTGCAGAACAACGAGTAGAAACTAAGAATCCGTTAAAACGCAAGTGTTGCGTTTGCTCTGAGATGCCTGTTGACTCGCTTTTGTATAGGTACGTGCGTTTGCCATATCGCCATTTTAAATCGCAACTAATAAATGGTGGTTTTGATGTTTGTTTGAAGGTGTGGACATATGTGCACGTGTCTGAAATGTGCTCATGAGTTGCAATGGAGCAGTAAGAAATGTCCGATATGTATGGCTCCAATCGTCGACGTTGTGAGAGCTTTTCTTGATGCTTAGGATTAAAAGAAAAAAAAGAAGAACAATACTAATTTCTCTATTAGTTTATAACATGATGATACTTTGTTTTGCTTTTTTTTTTTGTTTTTGGCATGTTGAGATCACCATAATTAACAGCTCCGATATACTCATGGCTTGTGCATATGCAATAATTCAAACGTTTGAAAACGTACATCGCCAATACTTTTGCACAAAGCCTACATTTTCAAAAAAATAAGATTAGGTTTTCTTTTATATTATTTGGGAAATTAAACAAATCCACAATGAGACCACAATTAGTGGAATATTAGCAATCGTGCAAACAACGTAGGTTGGTTTGAACGCAAATGATATAAGAACTTGGTTGAGATATGGATGTATGTTAATATCTAACAACCGGCTTGTGTCTTAAGGTATACGAGTTACTAATGGAAGACATGTTATAAATATGATAAACTGTCGGTAGCTACGGGGAATGGATTAAACAACCTGCTTTTGTCTTTGACCAAGGAAGTTATGGACTTTGGCCATAGTTTCTTGCAATTAAAAAACATGATTATACTCGTAACTATCAACAAAAGAAAAAGAAAAACATAATATAATATGATGTGAGGATAGTATACCGTCGTTTCCACCGGAGATCCTTGTTTGTAACGTGGATGCAGCCTGGAACTCTACTTCGCTGAGCTGCGGCGTAGGAGGGGTGTTCACCGGCAACAACAATCTATGTCTCCCTAACATTAGCGAATCAAGAAATTCAGTATCTTCAGCTCTTATGGCAGAGGCCATTGCTGTCCGTCTGGCTGTCCTCACAGCACGCTATTCAAACGTCCGATCCTTGGCCGTTCTTTCAGATTCTCTCTCACTCATTTCCTTGTTGAAGAATGGAGAGTCTCAGCCCGAACTGTTCGGTATCATGTTTGATATCTATCATGCTTTGTCCTATTTTGATGTTATTTCTTTCCACTTCATCCCTAGGAATCTTAATTGTGAGGCTGATATTGTTGCAAAATCAGCTTTGGTTAACTTGGTTGTAAGCTCTAGCCATGGAGGATAATTTTATTTGAATGAAATGTTGTTTGATCAAAAAAAAAAAGGCTCCGAACTCTTGTTCAAATGGCCATTGCAATAAATTACATGATGCATTGCATGATTTAGAGAGATTTTGTCATCTATGTATGATGAGTCCACTTTTCAAATTTTTATTATGTATAAAGAATGTAAGTAAAGCCTTTATCTTCACAATCTAGTTAAGGATCAAGTGGACTACATTGACTACATGTGGCTTAGCCAAAATATGCAACTCCACAGAAAGCTAGATGCGACCAAAAGCAAGTATCTGGCAAATGTCTCCAATGTTTTATACATGATAGTTAAATCTATCATATGAGTCAAAAGATGATTACTCCGGTCATTATGTTTTTGAAGGCGTCTTGTGCAATCTCATTTTTTGCATGTATACCAAAAGGAAAAGAAATAAGAAGTCAAATAGCTTTATTATTGATGGACAACCCATTTATAGGCTTCTATGATACTTGGTCTTGGCCTATTATTCGGACCACATCGGCCTTATCATATTAAGACCCAATGAGTAGGAGATGTCTGGTCTAAAACATTGGAGAGCAGCCAAGCCAGAAAAGTCACGCTGGCCCTGGCCGACAGGTGTGTACTGGAGACAACGCCAGGTTTCCCATAGATTGTTGGAATCTTTTAAACGAAACAGCGTAACCGAAAAGTACATAAAATTTACGGTAAGGAAACGCGGTCGTGATTCGTTTTCTTCGTTTGAAATGTGAAATGTCACCACCTTGAAAATTCGAACAAAAATTAATAAAGTTTTAACAAAAACTATAAAATATTTAAATAGTGGTAATTAAAAAGAACTGCTCAGTTGAAAAAAACTGTATTAATACCATTAGGTTTCTAATACTTGTTGGATACATGTTGGCCGCTAAGAATAAGTACTACAAAAAAATTGTTGTTAATAATGTAGATGATTTGGCCTTTAGCACATAAATGTAGTTATAATTATTTTCTTCCAAAGCATTATTTGTTATCATGTAACTATTTCGATTCTGTTTCCACAATTATAAATACAAAACATGTGAATCATAGCTGGTAACCATATTCATTTAAAAATTAATCATTTGGTAATTGGTATCCACTAGAAATCTTTTCTGCTTTTTATGACCTTTCCTTCCCCTTCACTCTACACTTTCCCTTGTTACGTCTGCAAGTCAAAATAATACAAAAGTAGGAAAAAAGATTTACTCGTAGAGACTTACTTTTCCCATGAAAAATACAAAACAATCGTCAAAACCTAATAATATTCATATTATGCCCACGAATTAAATGCTCCTACCACAATGAACAGAAAACAAACTTTGTATCCCCTACATAGGACTGTTTTGCTGCTCTAGTGATGGATTTGGTGTTTTCTACTAATTCTAGTAATCTTTTTACAAGTTGTTTTCACTAACCCTGATCTGTTTACAAATCATACAAAGATTGGAAAAAGCAAAAAAATATCCTTACTAAAATAAAATAGCATATTCAGGAAATATCACGGAAATTGCATTTTTTAAATAATAAAAACCATAATAAATATAAACAACAGCCGCAGGTAACAAGACAAAGAAAAAAACATGTGTGTAGTGTATACACAATAAGATACAGAGTAGAGAGAGAGAATCTATTCATCTTCTTCTTCTTCTACTCTAATTCATCTAATCAGATCCAGTAGCCAAAAGAAGAGAGAAACTCAAATCACAATGGCCATGGCCAAAGAGAGAGACCATCACCACCCAAACAAAGACAAGAAGCTACTCATCAGCCTCATATGTAACTTCTCCACCGAGCTCAAACTCATCTTCATCGCCTTACTCGTCATCTTCACTTTAGCCACTCTCTTACCTCTCATACCTTCTTCCTCCTTCTCCCTCTCCTCCTCAGACTTCCGCTTCTGCATCTCACGCTTCTCCCCCGCCCTCCCCGTTAACATCACATCCACCTCCGTTACGGAAAACACAACAGAACACACAGTTCTAAAAAACGGCGTTATCAAACGGACGTTTAACGGTCACGGCTCAGCAGCTTACAACTTCGTGACAATGAGCGCATACAGAGGCGGCGTCAACTCATTCGCCGTCATCGGCCTATCGTCAAAACCCCTCCACGTGTACGGCCACCCTACTTACCTCTGCGAGTGGGTCCCACACTCCCCGACTCAAAACCCCGTCTCCACCCCCGGTTTAAAAATCCTAACTGACTGGGGATACGGACGGATCTACACAACCGTCGTTATAAACTGCACTTTCCCCTCACTCGTTACCGTTAGTGGAAACCTAATCCTCCACGCAACCACCGGAGATCCCTCCCTAAACCTAACAAACTCAATCCCAGTCCTAAGCGAACCTCAAAACTCCGTCGACTTCTCCCTCTACACCTCCACAAAGAAGCAATACGATTATCTCTACTGCGGCTCGTCTCTCTACGGGGACCTATCCCCGCAGAGAGTCAGGGAATGGCTCGCGTACCACGCGAGATTCTTCGGGGAGCGTTCGCATTTCGTGCTGCACGACGCCGGGGGGATTCATGGAGATGTGTTCGAGGTTTTAAGGCCTTGGGTTGAGATGGGGAGAGTGACGGTTCATGATATTAGGGATCAGGAGCGGTTTGACGGTTATTATCATAATCAGTTTATGGTTGTGAATGATTGTTTGCATAGGTATAGGTTTATGGCCAAGTGGATTTTCTTCTTTGATGTTGATGAGTTTATGTATGTTCCGGAGGGGGAGGGGACGGTTAAGGAGGTTATGGAATCTTTGGAGGGTTATTCTCAGTTTACTATTGAGCAGATGCCGATGAGTAGTCGGATTTGTTACTCTGGTGATGGTCCGGCGAGAACTTACAGGTGATGATCGTAATTATCTCGTGTTAGTTTTGGTTAATGATGGTTTAATTAAGATCTGTGTGTGATAGTGTTTTGAGTAAAGGAGAATATAATCACGAGGTTTTGGAATATTATTTTATCAAGTAGGAATCTGGTTCTGTCAAACACTTGGCCTGCAAAAGTCTTTGAGCATTGTGTATTTTAGTCTTCTATGTCGGTCCAGATCTTTGCTTTATTTCACATCACATGGGTTGAGTGATGTATGTTACAAAGATTCTTAGTTTTGTTTTTGCTAAAATTAAGTAGATAATGTTTCAGTTTTTTAGGTTGATCCGGCTTTGGCTTTTGTTTAACTAAAGTAACATTGAATTCTGATGCTGATAATATGTTTAACTTCTTAATCTTAATTGTTTGATTTAGATTGAACATGTGTAATGGTTCTTTTTAGGACAAAAGCATTTCAGTTATGATTTGGTTTTCAGTTCAGGTTATTGCTTTTTTTTTGGTCTGTACTGATTTGATCTCTAAACGCTAATTTTTTTTGTAATGGTCCAGGAAATGGGGATTTGAGAAAATGGCATATAGAGATGTCAAGAAGGTTCCAAGAAGAGACCGGAAGTACGCGGTCCAGCCGCAAAATGTATTTGCAACGGGAGTCCACATGTCTCAGAATCTACAAGGGAAAACATACCACAAGGCCGAGAGCAAAGTTCGTTATTTCCATTACCACGGTTCCATCTCTCAGCGGCGTGAGCCTTGCCGTCACCTTTTCAATGACTCTAGAGTTGTTTTTGAGAATAATCCTTATGTGCTCGATACTACGATCCGCGACGTTGGCCTTGCTGTGAAGACTTTCGAGATGAGAACAATCGGTGACCGGTTGATTAGGACACGCCAATGAAAATTATTTTTAGGAATGAGTAGTGAATGTATTCATGTTTATTAGAAAAGAAGGGACTAGAGGTTATGAAGATGGGGCAGATTTTTACTTGATAGTTGTTTCTTTCGGGGTATATTCTTTTATTGTATCATAACATCTGCATGCGTTTATAAATTCTTGGTATATATATATCACTTTTAAGAATAAAATTCTAAGTCAGTTTGACAACAATTTCAAACCATTCGTGACAAAAAAACATACGATTCATTTCCATAATAATCGAGAAATAGGGTTGAAACTTTGTTATGTTTCTGGCTGGATAGAGTTGCTTAAATTATTTTAGAAGTAAATTAGTTGTATTATTAATCATCGACAGAAGAAGATAGCTTTTTGCTTTGGGAGGTCAGGAACGTGCCTTCAAGCTTTTCTTGACGGCCACCGATGGGCCTAAACGTGTGGATCCCTATGCAGGAGGAACATCTGGGACCCGCATTTTGTGGTGGTTAGAATCTGTCAAGTGGCAGATGCGCTAGAAAGTGGGTCGTTAGCTGCAGTAGAATACAAGTGTTCCATAATCATATGACTATATTCCTGATAATTTTCTTTGTTTTCTTTTGCTTATGGAAGCTGTTAAACTACGAGATTTTACGTCTGAACCTACACAATTATTTTCCCTAACTTGATTTTAAACAAGAAACATCGTAATCACTTTTTCTTAGTTTTTTTGCCTTAACTTTTGTTAGGTACTTAAATATTATGTATGTCCATACTGACATATTGACATGACAAAGACTGAAATTGATTACTAGAAAAACAAACAGTTTATACTTCGGTGATTGGGAACCATGTAAACACTGATGAACTATAATAAATATATATATTTCGATATATATATAGACTAAAACCAAATAATGTAATAATAATATCCTTCCACACCATGCTCAACACACACAAAAAGGTTTTCCTAACAACAAATAATTCAAAACAAATACATGATTTTAGGGATGATGGTTTAGGATGCTCACCGACACCGACGGTACGGCACAAAATCATTGTGTAAGTTAGTTGCATCACATTCAAGAACCCTACTATGTATCTTTAAGACAATGTTGTAGTAATTGTTGATGGTAACGGATTATCAATAAATGTATACAGTATACGTGTGTATATACGTTTGTCATGTAAATTGTATACAGTATACGTGTGTTTAAATGTTATTTCATGTATCATGTCAAACGGTTGGTCAAATTTAATGTTTGATGGTACTTTTTGGTTGTAAATTTAATACTATGATGTTACGGAGATCATTCATAGAAAGTGGCCGAGGCTGCATGATCTCTGCAAGCTGCATTATTCTCTGAAAACAGACAGTCTCTTTACTCCTATAAAAATGGTTCCTCTAACATTCAACCTCCATAAATAAAGTAATCAGTAAATCCAAAACAACAACTTTGCTGTCGGTTCATATATATAAGGTTTGGAATGGTTAGGGACTGACTCGAAGAAATGCTGTCGATTTATGTCTATGGCATGCGGTCACTGTAAAATAATGTGGTTGATGTGGTCGATACGGTTAAAGTGATGCAATCCAAATGTTGCAGTTTTCTTAATTCCAAAATCCAAAGTGTAAATCAAATGTAATATGTGAGGAAATGTTGTATTAAATAAAATATTTATTGTTTTACAAAGCTAAAAATATCACATTACACCTTTATTTAGCGTGGGCTTGAGTACACATATTAAAATATCAAAATTATATTATTCCAAGAAATATTTGTCATCATTTTTATATTTCAGTTAGGGCTGGGAAAAAAAGCCGAAACCCGAAAATCCGAACCGAACCCGACCCGATAAAAAGAAATCTGAACCGATCCGAACCCGACATAAATACCGAATGGATCTTGTTTTACGGTATTTCGGATTATGGGTTTTATCCGAACCGAACCCGAACTTAAATGGATATCCGAAAGAACCCGAAACTTTAAAAATCCAAAATAACTTATATCATACTCAATCTAAATTTTTAATATGTTTCCAAAACACATTAATATATTATTGAGTACCTATAATAATTAGTTACTAGATCTCGACCCGCACAACCGTGCGGGTATTTTAATACAAAAATATTTGAAAATATATAATACTCTTTCCGTTTTAAATTAGATGATGTTTTAGAAGATTTATTTTTTTCAAAATATAAGATGTTTTAAAATTTTAAAGTATAGTTTAAGGTTAATTTTAACTTTATTGGAAAATGTTCAACCAATAAAATTTTACTTTTTGTAATAATTGGTTGAATGATTTTAAAATTATATATGTAAAAATACTGTTGTAAAAAAATGTAAATTCCTTAATCTTTGCAATGATCCAACACATCATATATTAAGAAACGGAGGGAGTAAAATTTATCAATAAATAAATATAATTTGATTATGTATACTATCTAATTTTATAATAATATTTATGTGGTTTATAATATTATTAATATAAAATTTATAAATTTGTATTTTATTTAAAAAAAATTAAAATATTATTATGTAACCTTACTAATTTATATATATTTGTTTGAATTAAATAATACATAAACAAAATTTTGGGATATTGTTAAAAGTATTTTACATAATTTTAATTGTTTGTTTATAAATTAAAATGAATTAAAAATTTAATTATATTTTATGATAATTAAAATTTTAATTAAATAATTTTTGAAACTATATCTTGAAAAGATTCTAAAAGATCTTTTAAAAGATTTTGTTAGAATTTTCTTAAAACTATTTATTTGTATTTAAAATAAAAACTATATAAAAGATATTATAATGATGTTATGTAAAATTTTATGAAATTTCTAAAGATTGTCCAAACTAAAAAATCACACATGAAGTGAGTCATGACTTCTCTTTTAATATAATAGATGATATGAATAATTAACTCAATATTTAGTCTAATATATAGTGTTGTTGATGATTGACACTACATTTGAAGTTAAGTTACGAATAAATTTGTTTTGAAGTTTAAATAATGTTGTTTTTTTAATTTTCAGTATTACTTCTTACGTTTATATAATTCTTAGTTGTTAACTTTAACTTTTTATGTTTCATTATGTATTATTTTCGTTCATACTTGGTTTATCATTAATCATGATATGTTTAGTGTTGTCACATATAGTTCAAAGACAAATCTTATATTGTTGATAGATGAGTTTCATAATATTATTTAGAAGCAGAACAATACGGTTTGTAGAAGGTAAATACACAATTTAGTAAAAAGATTGAAAATATAGTGAATTTAATTGAGTATAAATTAATATTTTTAGAATCGATAACCCAATAAGTATCCGAAACCGAAACTATTTCGGGTTCAACTGGATTTTGGAAATGTTACTAAATCCGAACCGAACCCGATTAAACCCGAACCGAATCCGACCCGAATTTTTATAATATCCGAATGGGGCTGAAATTCATGAACCCGAAAACCCGAAACCCGAATGAACCCGAACCGAAACCCGATTGGGACCCCGAATGCCCAGCCCTAATTTCAGTTCTGAAAATTCAGCAGAATGGCATAGCAACTTGTCTCTCTATGTATAGTATGTGGCATTAATGGATTCAAGAAGATAATATTGGAAATTACCAAGAATATTATTTAATTGATATTAGAAATTATAAAATAGTTTTACTTTTCTATCTCTCGTGTATCCGTTTCTTTAGTCTTTACAATGTGTAACTTTTAATTCTCTCGAATAGAAATTGCAAAAAATAAATTAGCACGAGAAGATTAAATATGTAGTTAACTTCATTCGATTAATCAATAAAAAGAAAATCAAAATGAAAAAAAAAAATAGTAGTTAATCAGTCACATCTTATATTATTCACACGGTTTGTGCTTCCAAGAAACTACTAAAATCCTCGGTGGCTTGTATCAACCGTGGCGTGATCGAAGAATGATTCGGAGACGTCGGATAAGAAACCGGCGACGAAGTTGAGAACCGAACATGAAGTTGCGACTCCATAGACCGTCTCGACTTCGAACCAGAAGTCTTCAAAACCCCTTTTATCTCTTTCTCCAAACTAGGTTCCTTGTTGAACACGAAAGCCGCTGAAACAGGATCATCTTGATCATTCCCACCAGGACCGCCTTTGATTAACTCAGAAGGCAAGTCGAAGAAATGACCACCGAGATCAACATTTTCCTCGTGGATCATAGCTGAAGAAGTCCACGAGCCGCAGTCAAACTTCTCTAACGAGGCTCGAGCTGAGAGCACAGTTGTGTCTCTAACGGAAGCAGTTCTCGCCATTGATTGAGTAGAAGTCATTGTCGTGGTTCTAGTGATTGATGAGTCGCCTTTTCGAGATGATGATGATGATGATGATCTGACCGGTTTGCCTTTGCCAAAACCGGGTAGGTATAGACACAACGCGCTGCATTTGAACCCGTCTTCGAAGGTGTTGATGCTTTTAGAGTTCGCCGTGTTGGTATTGCTTTTGTTAGACTCTGTCTTTGAGAAGAAAGAGTTGTTTCCGCTACTCTTGTTAGAGAGACTCTTGGTGTTAGAGGATGATAAGACATTATCATTATCATCATGATGATCATGTTGCTGATGATTAGGTCCAGTTCTTGATTTTCGTAATAACATGTCGAAATCTAGGGATGGCGTGCATGCACGTCCTTCACCGCAAGATTTGCTTCTTCCAAACGAAACGGCAGCGTTTTGAACGAGCATTAGGTCAAGAACTTGCTCCGTGGTTCTGTTCTTCCAGCTGTGTCTAGGAGACGTGGATGCTGAGTTCGGGAGGCTGCAGCTTATAAACTTGGTAGGCTTCGTCATTTGATGATCTCTCGGGCGTGAGGTTATCATGTTGAAGCTCTCGTTCCTCGACAAAAGTGACTTCGGGTCAACGGAGATCCGCCTCTCGGAATCAGACAATATACTCGCCTTCTTGATAAGAATCTTGGGCTCGTCTCCACGACCAAGAACCTCAAAGTCATGCCAATCCTCTTGACTACTATCGTCCCTGAAGCTACTATCATCTCTGAAGGTCAGAAGTTGCGTCGCCATCTTATTTTTTTGAATTGTCTTTAGCCTTATTTGGAAAAAGACAATATGGGCAAAAGGCTAAAGCAGATTGGTTTTAAATACGGAGTAGGATGGGCTGCACGTCGGTTGGTAATTAGTTTAGTCATGACTCGCACGTATAATATAATACTACTATCTAAAGTGATGTTGACTTCATCTTTTATAAGAAACTGAAAAATATAATGGCTAAAAATTCTCTTTATGTCGTTGACATGAGACCATGCCCAAGATAACGACAAGATCAAAAAGATAGATCTGCTTGCACGAACTATCTAGTTAGAATATTATCAAAACTATTTGGAGGGTACTTACTTGCATCAGTGAAGACCATATAAGACCATTTAGATAAGGAACAAAAACATTAGCTGTGATGAAAATCAGCTTCAGCTTCTATGAACCATCATTTGATGGGTCATGAGAGGTTTGTGACCTATCAAAATGATGTTGATTCTCGTTGCACCTTACATATTAATGGATAAACACTAGTAAACATCCTATATAGTCACGATATTGTCACCGAATGGCCACTAAAAATCCGTGACTACATAAATTACCACGAACGGGAAAAGGCCATAATCGCAATATTGGCCACATAATTATTGCGCATAAACATTATTTGATGGGTTATTAGAGGTTTGTGAACTATCAAATGATGTTGATTCTAGTTGTGCACCCTACATAGTGGATAAAGCTGAAGATGGGAAGGCAAATAAAGGGAACTTACGGCCAACTTCAATACCGGTTGTTTCAGCTAGATAATACTGATCATCATCTCCAAGTGGTCTACTCTCCACTCTCCAGTTAAACCGGTTCACTAAGTTTGCCAGTGCAACCTCAATTAACGTCACTGCAAAATCTATACCAGGACATAGCCTTCTTCCAGACCCGAATGGTATGAAGTTTAAATCCTGTCCTCGAAATTTCAAATGCATATCCAAATGCCTCTCTGGTTTAAATGCTTCTGCATCTGATCCCCATTTTCCGGTGTCTCGATGGATCGCCCAAGCATTGATGATTACCTGCTCAACAACAAACATATATACATGAAATAATTGTTTTCTTTATAGTTGGGGTATATAATTATATGGTTTGTTTTTACTATTGTTCCAGCCGAAATGTCATATCCCTTCACTTTGACATCTTGACTAAGTTGTCTCGGAATTAATATTGGACCCGGGGGGTGCAGTCGAAGAACTTCTTTGATCACAGCTTTAAGGTATTTCATATTCTCAACTTCTTCTTCCGATATAAATAAGTTATTTCTCGAATTTTTTCGGACTTCATCTTGAAGTTTCTTCATGGATTCTGGATGTCTTATAAGATGTGTCATTGCCCAATCGACCGCTGTAAAAGTTGTTGTCGTCCCCCCTAAGAAAATATCCTATAAAACAAGGACAGAATATCATTGTTAGTAATATCATTAACTTTATTAAAGGATATTGTTCTTTATTAAAGGATATTGTCTTGATTACGTACCAAAATGATGAGTCTGATATCACTTCTATGAAGCTCGAATCCATTTTTCTTCTCTCTTTGAATACGTAACAGCATATCAACAAAATCAGATGCCTCTTTATTCTCACCTTTATTTACATGTTCTTGCACCACTCTTTCTAGAAACTCCACAAACGTTTTGCTTACTTCCTCCATTTTACGGTCCAAACCACGGACTTTATCTATCCAAGCCAAAGATGGGATGTAGTCTCTGACTGGAAATGCGCCTAAAAGCTCCATGATTTTTCTCAGTTGATTTTCAAAATCGCTAGTGCTTTCTTCACGGCTATATTTTCTTCCCATAGCAATTTTACATATCACATTGTTTGACATGTTAAGGAGTAAATCGCTTAGGTTTACCGATGATGAAGAAGAACTCGCTCTCTCTAGATTATCCATCATTGCATGTATCTCTTCTTTTCTTACATTCTCAAAGGACTTCACCATTTGCTTGCCGAGGAGATGGACCGTGCATAAACTCTTAATTTAAATGATAAGGTAAACCAAAAAGAGCAAAAGGAAGATTAGTGTGAAATGTGAATATCTCTATTTTGACTAACCTACATTCGCGTGAAATGTGAATATCTCTATTTTGACTAACCTGCATCTTAATTTACAAACCGGTACATTTTGCAAGTTTGTATATTGTGAATAATCTATTCGATCAACTGTATAAGATAAGAAGATCAAGACAATCCCTAATTTTTTTTTTTATCAAAACAATCCCTTATATATATTTAGGTAATATGCGCTTTGTGCAGGATGAAGTATATACTAATTATTTATGTAATATTTGATTTTAAAAATATACCATAAGCTTCGATGATGGAATGAAAAATGTAGCAAATCAAAGTGGGAAAAGAAAGAGCATAACTGAGGGAGGTCTATCCACTGTATAAAAATTCTTGTCTTTTTAACATTAAAAGTTTTTTTTGTCTTTTTAACATTAAAAATTACTGTCAATATCTATAATAAATAAGTAAAATCATACCTTCATCTGTCTCCAATATTCACCGTAAGAGGAAAAAGCCACATCTCGTCCACCGTTCATAATTATATCCACCGCTTTCGTTTTTGGACGGTTGGCAAACTTAAGGTCGTGCGTTTTCATGACCTCGTAAGCTACTTCGGCTGATGAGACCACCAGAACAGGTACACGGCCAAAATGAAGGAGCATGAGCGGCCCGTAGCGGAGGCTGAGTCTATGGAAAGCACGGTGAGGATGGAGACTTAGCTGGTGAAGGTTTCCTATCACCGGAAGCCGCCACGGAGACGGTGGTGAGTTAAGTTCGGGACTGGTGGTGGTTCGCTTGAATAGTGGTTTTAGGAAGAGAAAGGCTAAAAGAGTTGTCAAGGACAAAGAGATCAATATCATCAGTTCCATTTCGATTCAACCCAAACGTTGGTTTCATACAGCACAGTGTTTAATATAGTAATAATGGTTCTGGTCTTCCAATGCACTATGTGCTTTATTATAGTGATAATAATGAGTCAGGATTTTTTTTTTCATTCAATAAAATTTATAATATTTAATAATACTTTATTTTATGCTATAAAACAAGAATTAAGATCACATTATTCATAAAGACTTATGACATACAATAATGTCCTCGAAAAGAAAAAATAATAATACTCTCTCCTATTTCATAATGTTACATCTTTAAAAAAATTGTTTCAAAAATATATATTTTTGTATTTTGAATACATGTTTTATTAACTAACAATGATTATTTACAATTTTAAAAATTTAATTACACTTCTTAAAATTTTATTAGTTTAAATTTATGGGTAAAAGATAATTACTAAAATTTATGTATTTATACTTTTTATTATCATATTGAAACAAAGGAAGTATAATGTAAATGACTTAAAATAACAAAGATTCAAACACAAAGGTCACACTCATTAGCAGTGTTTCCAATCAACGTCTTCAGAGGCTAATCAGATCAAGATAAAGAGAAACAATATAGTCCTTTATTTTGCCTTCAGGGTGTGTTAATCCTTCACCATAGCCATAGGCAACATTGGCCATGCGTGCACAATTGAGGGCTTGCTTGAGAACTCTCCTTGGCACATCTTTTGTTGTCAGCAACTCTTCGTTCACTATTTTGTCGTTGTGAACACGCATTTTATGAAGCTCCTTAAAAGTTTCTGCTTTTGTAACTCCATATTGTTTCATATAACAGTTGACCCCGGTAGTTACATATCCTCTGTTCATGTCATCCTAATCAGCCCACAAAATTTTTAATTAATAATAAAGAAGATTCCATGAAAGTAAACATTTTCTCACAAACTTTTTGAAATTATATTTATAAAACGAATATTTTCTTTGTACCTCGAAACCGGTCATGTCATTCATCAGACGTCCATTTATAGATATTGCTTGGATGAGTTTTGGTCTGGACTTGAGCCACTCATAAGCTTCCTCCGAAGCAATATGACCCATTCCCATCAAAGTGGCTGCAATACTCGCATACAACGAGACCTCCACCTCACCGACCACCATGTAATCCTCAAAGCTCGGAACGTGAGCGATTTGTGCCCATTTGGCAAGGTCAAGGTTGCCTTTCACGAGTATTTTGAACTGATGGTTCAAAAGTATATAAATACGTTAAATTATGAACATTCATGCATGGTTTATGAGTTTCACCCCAAGAGTGAATAGCAAAAAGCATCATTTTGATGAAATATATATAAGAAATTTAATATCAAAAATAATGGAAGATAAACAATAATTATATGAGTAGTGTCAGGAATTTGATTGATTACCTCTTCTACTGTATTTTTCAAGCTGTTTCCTTCTGACCCCACTTCTCTCTCGAAATCTTTGAATACATCCAGTATAAATTCAAACACGAATTTCAAATAATTTGGCTGTTTATCCATGTATTTATCAGGAGCCCACCTTGTGCATCATCACAATGATCATTCTTATTCTCAACGCCATCATCAATATGATTGTTAATCACGTGGAATTTTAAAATATAGCGTACCTTTCTAGACTTTTGGCGAGGCTTTCAGCTTCAGACATAGAAGCATATCGGTCGAAAGTGTCGTCAATAATGGTTTCGGCCGTGAAGAACTTAGTCAACATAATCCTCGCACTTGAGAAATGTGGCTCAAAATACATCGATATAACAAAAAAATGTAACTCCACCAGTCTATCTCTGAAATAAGGTGGCAACTTAGATGCAAAGTCGAGCTCCTTGTGCCATCTTGCATTCAGACAAAGAGACACACACATATATTTAAATATGATAAATGATGAAAACATGGGTATACTAGTTACTGAGGAAATTATATACTTCGTAACCATTTTGAGCTCCTTAAGGTAAATAAGTTGTAGTAACTTGAAATTGAGCCTTGAAAACTTGAGTAATGTCTCGTCATGGTCTTCTTCTTGTTCATAGAATGAGATATATTCCATTGCGACTAATATCTCCATGTTCCAATGTTGAGCTAGACCAAGAGCATTCTGTATAAGCCTTGAGAGGTGAGGGCTTTCTCTTCCTGCCAACGACTCCATATGTTTCGTTGTGAAGCTCAACGCTTCGTCCATTATACAATCTCTTGTCGTCCTCAAATGAGCGGCTTCATACAAGCTCAACATGCCTTTAGCATTCTTGGTTAAGGAGTCCATAAACTTTCCGTCATCCCCTTTGAATCTCTTGAATACATCTATATACAGTAGCCATTGTAAGATCTTGTTAAACCTTTCGCTCCAACAAGAAATGAACGTGTTAGTTAATATGTATTAAATTAAAGATAAGCATCAGTGACCTACCAGCCGACATGTTGTAACCATATGTTCTGAAAACCCAAAAGAAGATGGAGATAGTGTAAAGGTCATGCTCATTTGCGATCATATCATCAAGCTTCTCAAAGGCGTGTGTCAAGATCTTTTCGATCTCATTCTCAAAATGATATGCAACACCAAGACTGATCATCATATAGATCAAAAGTATTTTCCTCTTCGTGGAGTCATGACCTTCTGCATGGTAAGAGGACATGAGCATGTCTCTGACGTTCGGCTTCATTGCTTCGAGTTCGCATGCAAGGGCATCTAGTTCCTAGAAAAAGATACGCAAGTCAGTAGCCTGTTTTGTAAAACAAACTATATATACCAAAAAGAAAATATATATGTATATTATATATACCAGGTGTATGTTAAGATGGTGAGTCGGTGACACTATAACAAACAACACTAGATCATGATCAAATTTCTTGTCATAGTTTTTCATCCAATTTCGCAACAAAATATTTTATTTTTCCTAATGTTTTATTTTTCACAGACACGTTTGTGTATATTCTTACGTGACCGCATGTATATTGATAATAGTAAATGGACTCACAAATTCATCGATCGGGACGTAGAGGAAATAGTCAGCCCATTGAGAGGGTTGCAACATTTTAAACTTGCGACCGCTTTCATGATCCAAATCAGTTTGAGATCCCATATTAGAGATATAGATTGAGGGAGAGAGAGAGAGAGAGCGAGATAGAGACAGAAGTGGAAAGAAAGGAAGTCATGAAGTGTCTATTTATAGATGCTCAGCGCAATCATAGAATTTATTGTATTCATTTTCAGTTGAATTTTATTTATACGAAAGTATGCCACCGATAATATATTAATAGAATTATTTTTGTTTTTATATATTATATTATATAAATGGTTACTTTATGTGGTTTTTACTTTTTAGTTTTACTAATAAAAATGAAAAATATAATTATATAATTTTAAAACGATATTGTGTTCTAAATTTAGTAAACAAATACCTAAATTGGTTTATGTGACTTTTACAGGTTATTTTATGTTTATGTAATTTATTATCATTTTACGTTTAAAATTATATCATTTTATCATGTTTATTATTTAATAACACACCCATCTGCATTCTAAATCAATTATATATAAATGCATGTTGGGTTTTATATAAGTCTTTTTGACTACATCTAATAAATACATGACTAAATAAAAATGTAAAACTCAAAAGTAACAATTTAAAATAGCTAACTAATACTCAAAATCTATAATAATAAAATAGAGATATCTGCCTTTTCAGGCTATCCACGTCATTTCTTTAGATGAGGGCTTTTTTGCCACGTCAGCTATCTCTTTTACAACGCAATGTGACTTCCTTTTAATTTGGGATCCTACAACTTTTTTATTTATTTTATGGGCTTTCTTCCTCTAAATATTCAGATCAAACCCATCGACGAACTCGCTCAGCTTCCTCCGTGGAATCCCGCCGACGCTGCCGTGAAAGCTAAACTGAGAAGAACCGCCGCCAAAACCAAAATCTCTCCGCCGCAACAGCAACAGCTTCAGTTCGTTGGATTTGACGGAGTATCAGAGCCACCGTGCCTTCTCCAGCACCACCACCACTCTGCTTCCGAGCCTGTTATGTTTTACGGGCAGAGCAGTCCGTTTGGTTACGACGACACGTGGACGGGTGGCTGGGAGAAACAGTCAGTTCAGAGACTTGTGGCTTGGAACAGCGGCGGAGTAACCGATACAAGAAACGGAGGAGGAGGCGTGTATCCTTCTCCGACGTCGTATCAGCCAGTACATGGCCAAAGTCAGCTTATGTATTCTCAGAGGAGTCCCCTTCAGTCCAGTTACACTCCCATGATCCGTGCTTGGTTTGATCCTCATCACCATCATTCCATCTCCACCGACGATCTAAACCACCACCACCACCAATTTTCATCCGGTTTTGGCGTACCAGCACGGTTTCAGGGTCAAGAGGAGGAACAGCAAGACGGTCTCACCAACAAACCGTCCTCTGCTTCCTCTGTTTCTCGCCATTGATAATAATCAAAACAATGTCGGTTGCTGTCTTTTTTACATCAAGTACTACTATTTGGAGTTCTAAATTCATTTTTAAAAATAACATTTTGCAGAGGCCCTTTGAAACTTCCATTTACATTTTAAGCTTGGCTTAGATAGTTTGGGACAGCTATGCCGTTCTTTCGGTTTGTATTTGATGGCTTAGAAAACAAGGAAAGGATGAAAGAGTAGAAGAAGTGAACAAACAAACGTCTCATTAATGTCAGGTTCATCTTCTTTTTGCGCTCCAATATCCTCACCTAGCCAATGTAATTGTCATATTTTTCATCAGGTATACAACGTTCTTTAGCTCAACTATGGTTAGATGTAAACATTGTTCTTTTGTTGTGAGTTGTATCATCATCATCCTTTGTTACTGCAATAGCCAGATACTTGAGAAAATGTCAGTTCTTTGTTCTATTTTTCTGTGTAACTCCTTGGATAACTTTCTCTTTATTCTCATGTGGATTTTTCCTGCTTTCTTCAGGCTAAGAAACTGTTAAAAAACTTAAGCTAGATAAAGCTTAAATGCTTTGTTCAAGTTTGATTATTGTTGTTAAACAAACAACAAGATTAGCCTCTGTTCATTATTCTTATATCTCACTCAATCCTTTGGCCCCAATGATAATAAGTTAGTCATTATTCATAAACAGTAATATTGAATATTTTTATCTTCTGGAACATCATGGGGATTTAGCCATTTCCCTTAAACTAGAAGTGACAACTCTCCTCACAAGAGTAAAATATGGGGGTTTGTAATCTGTCTGATGTCATTTATTGTTCCCTGCACCTACTTTAGTGGGAGGAGAAATCCACCAAACTTGAATGTGATGTTGTCTTCTATGGTGAGTAAAAGAATGGAGACATGGGAAATGTAATATGCCACCCATGTTTGTCTAAATGTAGAAAATTGATCAAAAACTACTCAGTCTTCTCTATCATTCATCTTTAGACAAACAATATTTGATGTAAGATCATCTTCAATATGAAGACCTGTTTTTTACTCTATTATTTACACTAAAATAGAGTAACACATTCTGGATGTACTCACTTGCAAATATCATGTTCAGATGGATATGTAAGACGTCACAGATGCAGCAAATTTTCTTTCCTTTGATAAGAAAATAATTAAACTGACCCATCTTCGTGCTTCCGAGGTTGCCCATATCATGGTAAGTTCTTTAAAATAGCAGAGGAATTGACTGATGTTTCTTAATTATAAACCTCACACTGCAATTTTTAAAATTAAGGTTTTCTTAGGATGGATGTCGTGAAGTAAACCAGCATAGTGGCCTCTTACTGAGCTCAATTACACCTCCAAGCACCAGCGTCGTGAAGTAAACCAGCATAGACTAAACACTACGTACAATACCTAAAAGACTGGGAGAACTTAACTTTCCAGTTAACTCTTACTGAGCTCAATTACACCTCCAAGCACCAGTCTTTTACTATCTCCCGTATTTACGACAGCATCTAACGTCCACCAGTTTCTAATTTCGCACACCAGGTCAGGATCCTCCATTCAAAATTGTTGTACATATAACCATGAGACAAGCTAAATTCACACAAGCTTTGTTGGTAGGGTGGTGATAATCATTCAGGCCTGGCTGTTAAGCTCTCTCTGGACCCAAACCCCATAACGAACAACATTGCTCCAGATAACACCAACAGGTGTGCTGCTGCTGCAACAATCCCAGACTGTCCTCAAGTGTCTGAAACAATACATGCACAAACTGTTCCAGTGGTTAACCCGGTGGAGTAAACTACGGACGGTGAAAAGGGTCCAAGTCCTAAGACACCTCGCAGTGCCTGATCACTCCAGCTATGGAGACTATGTACATGTCACAAAAATTCCCAAATCCCATTTCCAGTTCCTAAGTTTTTAAACTTGAGTCAATAATCATATTTTCCTGGAACTTTCTTATTTACCAGTTATGGTTTTCGTTATTTTGGTGTAGATGGGTACACTAGGTGACTTTGGTCTATTTTCAGTTAGGTGACTTTGGTCTTTATGATGGAGTTATGAAACTTAAGAAGGAAGCGGGATTCAGAATTGGAAAATGTGGTGTTGAAGTTTTTATGTTAAGCCTACCTGCCAGAAATTCTATGATATTGTGCAACTAAAGTGTTTCTAACAAGTCCTCTGCTCTATTCGGGTTCCTGTATTTGGACTCTCAACTTTGCGTTCATTTGTTATGTGGTGCTACCCACAATTAGTATATCCAGTAAGATCAGCCATTACGTACATAAGGATTATTAAAATCCTCATAAGACTAAACACTACGTAGACTTTGGGTTCTTTGACATAAATACGTCTACTAACATACACACACGTCCGCAGAAACAATCACCAAAATTCAAAATAACCCATTAGAGACATTCGGTTTAAATCTAAAAACATGTTTAGCAATTTCATTTTCATTAATTATGTGCAGTTTGATCAAAGCAATCTTTTTAACCTTTTCTACCCAACAATTTAACTAAAACAAATTTGGTTTCTTTGGTCAGCCGTAAACTTATGTAAAGAGCCAGTTTTTATGTTTTATACTGCCTTTAGAGCCGGATGTCTGAGAAATGGAAACTCAATGATTCAAAAAATATAACTAAATTTTAAATGAGTTAAATATTTTTAACAATTGTTTATATGAAGTATCAATAAATAAGATACAAGTCCTACCAAAAAAAAAGATACAAGTATTTAAAGCATAAACAAAGTTTAATTACATTTATTTTCACATTGCTTACTCTCCATTAATTTCCAACATTGAAAATTTAATATATAGTAAGTTTTGAGAACACAATGAATAAATAAAAAAAATTCAAAATTGACCTAATAATTATATTTTATTGATCAATCCTGATATGATATATACCTATTTAAATCTAAATTATAATTATATTTAAATCCCGGGCGTAGCCCGGGTTAACCTCTAGTACTAAATAAAGGGTAAGTTTATATTAGTACTTCTTTTAATAGTATAGATGCCTACTTTTGTAACTAAAAAGCATAATAAAATAATTTTGTTCATATCAAAAAGGAAAAAAAAAATTGTTTAGCTTTTAGAATTTATGTAACGAAAACATGATTGAGCACAAGTGACGAGAAGCACACTTACCAATAAGTATTTATTGTTTCCATTTCCGGTCGCAAAGTAAATTCTCTCACATTTATGGATGATGGGTTCACCAATCCCACAGAAAGATTCAAGGACAATCATATCTATGCTCGTAAATATAATATTACATTCAAGATCCCGTAATTATGTGTGTTTGTGATCATATATCATCCATTTACAGTTAGGGCTGGGCATTTTATCCGTTATATTTGATTCGATTCGTTATTCGTTTCGATTCGATTCGAAAATTCCGGATATCCGTAAACTTTCGAATCAAAGCAAATACAAAAATTCAATATCCGTTAAAATCGAAGCAAATCACAAATAGTAAAATTTTGGGAAGCGGATATCCGATTCGATCCGTAAATATATAAATATATGTATATCTTGATTATATTTAACATTTTAAATGTATAAAATTATATAATTATTACTCTAGCATATGATTTTGAACAATTCTATTGAAATTATTACTTATATAAAAGTATTACATAAAAAGAAAGAAAGAAAATTATGACAATTATATTTTTTTTCTTAAATTTTGTGTTATTATAATTGTAACTTAAGCTTAAAAAAATTACAAAATATATAAATTCACTATTTCATTTAAGTTTTATTTTATATATCATGCAAAAAAATATTTTTGCAAAGCAATTTTGTATCAAAATCTTAAGATTATTTGTATTAATCAAAATGGATGAGATATCCGTAAATATTCGTAAATATCCGCAAATATCTATTTATTTTCCGGATATCCGTTTTTCCGGATATCCGTATTTTTTCGAAGCAAAGCAAATACCAAAATTAGATATCCGTAACATTCGAAGCAAATCACAAATACTTTAAAAAATCCGGATATCCGATCCGTGCCCACCCCTATTTACAGTTAGAAAACAAATCACTATAAGAATAATTTTGCACTCAACTAATTAACGGAGTTTAGTAATCGCATTCACATAAAGTCCTCACTGTCTAGGAGTGAGTTTGGGTGGAAGAGAACCGTACAGGACACGCGGCACGGTGATAAAGATGACTGGAGGTGGAGATGGTGCATGCATATGAATGGTATTGGTGGCAGAAGATGAATGCTCGTGTAACGGTGTAAGAAAGTGACGTTAGAACTTTGTGCTTAGGTTACAAATGTAACCTCCATGCAAAACCTACTGGTATGAATATTGGCAACAAATCATGCATTGCTCCCCACGAATTCCAGTTTCTCTGTTATGGCCACCCGTCAGCAATGAGATCGAGATCAATTTTTTTTCCTACCGTAATTGAGAGCTTCATGCTTAAAACAATTTTCTTGTACTTTCTTTTACCAAAATCAATAAAGCTGACGCTTTACATTGACTTAATCATTTTGTATAATACTTTTTCTTATACTCTCTTAAAAATTAGAGCATTTTAAATAAAAATATCCCAATTCTAAAGTAATAAATTTTTAAAAGGAATGAAAGTATATTTCATTTGGAAAAGTTCCAATGCATCCTTTTTAACTGCATTATGATTTTTATTAGGTCGTGCGGCCAATTTTATGACTTTAACTAGCAAAACTTTCATAACATGTTTTGAATCCTACAAACATATATAACGTTGTATTTTTTTTATTAGCTTGAGAGTACTCTAGATTTATGGAAAGATCAACACTAATCTCTAAAAAGATGTATAGTCCACGGATAAATCTTCTTTCTAGATATTTAAATTGATCGTAAACAATAAATTCATATTTGTGTGATCACCCGATGAAATGTAATAAAGTGTTTTCAAATCCAGATTACTTATCAACTCAGAATTCAAATGCCACTAGACCACTATCACATGATTAACATATATAGCACCGTACATCAACGGTCCTGGCTTTTAAAAGACTACAAGATAATTGAGAAAAGGTTGTTGATATTAAAAATAGATGACTTACACTAATCCACTAGACTAAAAAGACTTGTAAAAATTTGGTCGAAAAAATTGATATTATTGAGGATTGGAAGTCCATGTTTCTTTAACTTTCCCTGTCTGGCAATATATTACAAACTTGTAACCCTTACATCTTTCACTAATAAACTTGGCCGAGAACCTAGATTACACCGCTCATTGTTTCGCCTCCACTCAGTAATCTGTTCTACAACATTTCAGATAAAATACTTTTTCATCCTCCGATACGTACTGTTATTGAATTGATGAGTTCTGATGCACATTTCACAACCATCCGTTGACAACATTATGCTTGATCACATGAGCGAAAAGAGTCATGGCCGACATTTCCAAAACTATACAGCCTTTGCCGAGCCATTATGGGAATCAGCCAATATCTGACATTAACATAACATAAGAATTGAGTGTCCATCTGCAAATTATCAAATAAGATATTGTGGCCTAGTTTTAATTTTCATGGCTCTCAATCTTCATTACCCTATTCAATTCATATTATGGGCCGCTCTTTTAACGCCCACAATCTATGGTAAGAGTCCATGGACCTAGAAAACACCACGTTCTGGAATAACATAACTCTGGTTCAGTTTTATACTTTTAGTTTTATTTATTCCCAATGTGCGAGTCTCTTGATTCGTAGGATAACATATGGTTCATTTCTTTTCTTAATCCGGATTTTATTTAGAAAAAGTACAAACTTGGAACTAAATGAAGTGTTCAGATAAAAAATCCATAACGAGTTACATGGCAATTCTCATTAATCTTATACAAATGAAATTAGAAAATAATGAAATGATAATTATAAACGGTTATGAAGTTACATGGCAATTCTCATTTTTCATTCCAAAAATGCTTCATTATAGTGCACTTGCAAATTTTAAGTCACTAGAATAACAGTTCAGGGTTGTAAACATTTTAAAAATCTGTTGGACTAGTAGAGACTAAAATGTGTCTTCTTGTTTAAGATAGATTATAAGAAACTAAGGATCGCTTGGAAGATTTTATAGTTGGAAAGTTTTTTTCATGAGCTGTACCAAAGTGTGTGGTATGGTATATACAACACTGCGTACCCTCGATCGTATATAATCTACTACCTGATGAAAGTTATGGTTATTCACACAACTATATCTTCTGTGTGATTTATCGAATCCCTTGGCACATCAACTAACATTGAGTCTCTCTACTCTCATTTTCTTTCGTTGTACCTTGCAGATAATTCATGTATTATTGCACTGATTAATCACTTCCTACTCAGCAAAATAGTGTCTTCTGGCTAAATAGTGATTGCTATTGTATAGTTTTCTATGTGTTGTATCTAAATTATTAAAATTAGAGTACAAATAGGAAATACTCTTTAATTTTCTTCAAAAATTACACATTTATGCTATTGGTCTTAATCCATATATGGGCTTGGTCAATTCAAAATAAAATTAAAGCCTAATATATACATATTGTGATGAAAATAAAATTTAAACATAATAACTAAGTTGTGGTCCATTTTAATTATTAGTTCATAACAAATAATCTAAACTATTGATTTCAATTAAATATCTTCTCATTTCTAATGTTTTTTTTTAATTTGGTTTCATTATTACTATTGTATCTCTAAATAATATATTTGTTTTTAAAATTCTTAAAAAAATGAATTTTATATAGAAAAGCTTTCATATTTTAGTGTTTGTTTTGCCAAATAAACATAATAAAATAAAAACACAATCTCATAATTTAAAGTGAAGACCAATCACATTGAACAAGATACATCTATGTCAATCCTAAATAACATATTAATCTATAATATTAAAAACATAAATAATTAAATTTATTAATTTTTCAAAAGTTAAATATATATGATTATGAAAAACAAATTTTAAAACTAAAGACAATTGTTTGATCAAAATAAAAACCAAAGACAATTGATTTTTTAAAAGTAATATTACTTTTAAAAAAATAAACGAAAGATATTTATAAAAGAGTAATAAAGAAATAGACAGATATATTCATGTTTATTTAAAATATCAAAGTAACACTTCCTGTAAAACTAAGAAAATCCACACATCTCGTTCATTTTTAACATGACACTTTGTCACACCGGGGTAAATATTTATACTAGTAATTGTAGATGAACGAAACAATAGGCACATACAAAAAAATTTCTATGTTCAAGTGTATACATGAGTGTAAATATGAGAAAAAAAAATGAAATGATCATCAGATAGGATATTTTATAATGGATGGTTGTGCATTGTTTTGTTCATCGAAGACAACCGATAATGAAGGCAACCCATGTGCCTGTATACTGTCATCATAGCCACCATTCTGTGACCATTTCAAAAACCTTATAATTTGCGTCCTTAAAAACAAAAAAATTTGACCAAAAAAAATAAAATAAAAATATATATATAAATCATACTAACTATATTCTATTTTACCTTTTCGAAAGAAAGGACTCTTGCAAAAAAAAAAATGTATATAATGTATATGCTCCCCTTAGATTAATCAAAGAATTAGCGAATCATTTTCTGATTTTTAAAAATGTAAATTCTTTGTAAGAAAATTATTTGAACCAATGGAGTTGGCTATTTCTTATTTAGACAAATGGTGGAAGAAATTAAGATTTAGGAGTGTAAACCATGTTTTTGTTTAGATTTCATAGATTATTATAGATATTGAGGGTGGGATGTCTGTCTTCTCCCATAATTATCTCTAATCATTTTCATTATATTAATTTTGTTTTTAGACAGCCTGATTTCTTTCAAACAGCTAGGCCATGTGAATTGTTTCTCTTTTCCAGTAAGTTTACTTATTTTGTGTATTCGGTTTCTTAAACCAAATAAATAAACCGGCCCATAGTTTTAAAATATATCAACTCAGGTTTTTCACGCCAACAGGTGGTCACCTTGCTTTCAATTAACATTTGGATTTGGTACATCCTTCATTAGAAGGATACGAAAATAGATTATTATTTTGAAGGTTTTCGTTTATCTTTCTAGAGTTCAAGTATAGCAACACAATGCTTGACTCTAAATAAATCCAAAATATACTTGCATATATAAAATTCATACCGGTCAACATTTGAGTTTTGCAGACAGATATTCGTGGTCAAAGTATGGGTTTACCAAAAATGTATCCTTCATCAAAAAGATGCATGTTCAGAGATTTTGGCTTTTGCTTCAATTTTTATCCTTTGATAAACCAAAATGGTCTAAAACTATATTCAAAAAAAAAAAAGACCTAAGATCTCTTTAAATTTCTTATTTATATTTTCGGTTATATATCGAAAATGGTTTAGATTTAAGAGTATAAATACCAAATATACTGTATTTCAATTTCATACAAAGTATCTGATATCGACTGAATTAGTATGGTCTTATGGATTATGACAAACTATAATATATCCTTCATGAAGAGTGTAGTTCACAAAGTGACTTGAACTAGAAAGAGATGCTTTGGTTTACTGTATAGGCATGGCTTTGGGTTGAGTTGAATCAAAGTTAACGTCTTCGCATTAACCGAATAGCAGTAGACTCGGTTAACCTTACACAGTTACCCGGCTTCACCAAAATAATATCACACAAATTAAAAGTCCAAACTACATTTTCAGATTTTGAGGATAATCATAATCCAACTCAAACTATGACATTAACATCAACGGAATATTTAAATAGAATAATATTAATCCTTATGTCTTAAGCAGATTAATATACATTATATAATATGAAATTTTGAATATATATGAGATAAGATGCGTATATGTTTACACCTACAGATCACCATCCAGTATTAACAATCCGATTGGTGCGGGTCCTACTTTGATATATGCCAACTCTAATTGATGTGACCGCCAGCTGGCAAAAATTACTTGGAAAGTACGTGTTTGCCCCTCCATCATCTGTTCGACCGTTATTCTATTTGTTATTACTTGTGGTGCTGTCATTGACCATTTCCGGTTATTGAAGAAATTCACAACTAAATTCACAGTAATACCGATTAAACCGGTTTGCACTCACACATCATTCTCTTCCGGATATGGTCAAATATTTACCGGTTTTGCGCTCAGCACTCGAATAAAACCATGTTTCTGTGATGTACTATAGTGGCTTTCCCGGTTTAATATTTGTTTGATTGAGTGAGTGAGATGGCGTTAACCGAAATTTGTTCGCGAATAGACAACAGAAAACGGTTAAGACGCCAACGAGGCAAGAGGGGTAATACGAGAAAAGAGGGAGGGCAAGGATCGTAAATAATAAGGAAACCAAGGGGTGAACTGAAGAGAAAACTGTCTATATGACGCGTAAGAGTTTCTTAAATTCAGAGAGACAATTAATCAGTTTTGTGTGTTTCAGAGAAGAGAAGAAGAAGATCTTCAAAGAGATTTATCATCTCGAGTAAGTCTCTTCACCAAACTCATAGTTGTATATATTCCTCTCGATCCTTTAAGTAATATGTACGAGTTTTAATTCATGTTAACGAACTCTGTTTTATTACTAGGGTTTGTCCGTTTTTTCCTTATATTCTGTAGAGAAACAGAGTTATATGATCATATAGAGACTTGATACACATATAGTATATATCATGTTTGTGCGTAACCGTTTTACGTCAACATATGACAAGTTCATCTTTCATAGTGAAACTTACTGTTAACTGAATACTTAGGTTTTTTTTTTTTGAAGTTTACTTAGGTTTTGTTTCAAAGAAAGAAAGGAAACAAACATAGTAAAGACGAGCAAAATAATATTTTGGAGAAGGCAATCATAGCATCTAGGTTTAGATTACGTGTCCATCGAAAACACTATATATTACCATAAACATATCTTCATGATTTAGTTTAGATTTGATTGAAGAGTTACTATTGCAAAATAACACAATATTTTTCTTCTTTTGATGTTCTTGGAGTTTGTCGTTTTGTAGAACATTAGATATGTACTTTTGTTTTTACCCGCCAGTAGATATGTACTATAGACACATGACAGATAAGCAACGTGGGCGTACTATATACAATTTTCATATATATATTTTTGTATTTAATAACATATATTTTATTCTATTTCTTTGACAGAATAGTTCGCGTTGAGACGGTTAATATAAATTAAATAACCAAAAATGGGTTACTGGAATTCGAAGGTTGTTCCAAGGTTCAAGAAGATATTCGAGAAGAATAGTGCTAAGAAGGCTGCTGCTGCTGAAGCTTGCAAGACCTTTGATGAGTCTAAGGTACATATAATTGTAGTTATATGTTAATTATGTAGACATAGGTCCCATGACACGCCATTATTTGATCATAAATTATACTATTAATATATTGCTGTTCTCATAAGTTTATTTGCTGTATCTGTATGTAGGTGTTTATATAATAGTTTTTGTTTGAATCCTGAAAAAAATAAAAACAATAAGCACGTATTTATTGGACTTTTGTACTTCAGGTTTTTTGGTCCTGCAATTATTATCCACTAAAGCAATATTTATTGGGGCTATTAGTTAGGAAATTTCGTTTTTTATGTGTTGCTAATATGGGCACGTATGATGATCAATTGTACGTATGATAGGAAGCAATCAACAAGGAAATTGAGGAGAAAAAGACAGAGCTCCAACCAAAGGTCGTGGAAACCTATGAGGCCACGTCTGCAGAAGTCAAGGTCCTTATCGCCATATGATTTACTAATTCTCTATTTTTATTTAACATATATAATTAAGTTTTAAATCTGTAGTACTATAATTGTGTTACTAATAAACTTCTAAAACGGGCAGGCTTTGGTGAGGGACCCTAAGGAGGCTGGTTTGAAGAAAAACTCAGCGGCTGTGCAGAAGTATCTCGAGGCTCTTGTCGGTATAGGTAATGATTCAATTACTTGTGCTTTTTCATGTGCCTATTATAAGTACCCCGACAACAACATTTGGTTGTCTTATTTTTATATGTTTTCCGTTAACAAAATTGTTGATTTTACTCAAATATATATTTGCTGGCAGAAACTTTGGATTCCTATCATATCTTATATTATTATAAGCATTTATCTCATTTTGTTTCATATGCAGTAGATAATCAAGAATATAATGATATATAGTAAAATCCTAGTTGTGCATATCTCTAATAAATTGAAATGCTAAGAAAAAAAATGAAATACTAGCATTTTCGTATTATATTGAATAACTAGTTGTATCGTATGTTTCGTCATGTTTCACTAATTCAAAAGCTTGTCAAACCTCGTCATCTTTTTGGAAAATATGTTTTGATTAATCGTATCACTTTTATTCTTCCTACTTTTTTTATTAGATGAAAGTAGTGAGTTTTTACTTATATTATATATGTAACTATGAAATGCAAATTCAGAATTCCCCGGATCAACGGCTGTGAAAGAAGCTGCCTCTAGCTTCGGAGCTAGCTATGTCTCCGGACCAGTCACGTTTATTTTCGAGAAGGTATGTGTGTTCCTTCCTGAGGAGGTTAAGACACGGGAAGTACCTGTGGAGGAAGTGAAAGCCGAAGAACCGGCCAAAACTGAAGAACCGGTCAAAACCGAGGAGCCAGTCAAAACCGAAGAACCGGCCAAAACCGAAGAAACAAGTGGTGAGAAGGACAAGGAGATTGTTGAAGAGAAGAAAGAAGAGACCGTTGCAACCACTGTCGTTGAGGAGAAGAAACCTGAAGTAGAAAAGGAGGAGGAGAAGAAGCCTGTTGTCGAAGAAGCTGCTCCAGCTCCTGCGGTGGTTGAAGCTCCGGTTACGGCACCAGAAACGACGGCGCCGGCTCCAGTGGCTGAGCCACCAAAGCCTTGATTTAGTTTCAAGATGGTATGAAAACATCTTGTACGTAAAAAAAAAGTGAAAGGAACAAAAAAAAAAGACTTATTTTCATTCTTTTTATTTTATATGGTTTGTCTGTGTGGATAAATCTCTGTTTTTGGAAGTCGTTAATGTGTTTTTTTATTTGTGTTCATGTGAAATTTGTAACAAAATATTGGTGGGTGTTTTTTCTATACGATTATTTGTATGTTTCAACCAAAGCTTATCCTATTCAAACCATTCTGATATATCTTCCAATCAATTTAAATTACTTGTTGAAATAGGTCTCTTTAATTTTGTTTTACTTGTCCATGCAACATCAAAATGACGTTATTTTGTTATCTTTCCCTTTTCTTTTTATGATGCAACAACAAAATAACGTCATTTTGTTAGTTTTTATTTTGTTGGACTCAACGTTCATGGAACAGTAATTAAAAATTCCATAAGACAATAAGATTACCTTATACAAATTAAAATGAAAGGAAATAAGATCACGTCGCTTCTATATTATTATATATATCCGATGGATCTATTTGCATATATTTGTATAATTTTTAGGTTTGCTTTACTTAGAAATGGGATTCTCTAATCGACAACCATTTGTGAATTTTTTTTTTTTGTTAGTATATCTTGAAATATTTTATCTATGAAACTGATTGGGATGTGTTGCGGTGCACGTGAAATTTGATTTGTCTAGCAGAAAGAGGAGGGCACATCTGATTTATTTAAGATTGTTGATACGTGCAAGTAATCAGGAACTTAAATTGCAGACCAAGAAACATATATATAATATGCAAGAAAGGTTTTAATTTTCTTAATTCAAATGAAGTGGTAAGCAACTTATCTCTTAATCACACTATCTTCTCTAGAATCTATCCTCTCTTTTCTTTAAACAGTTGCGTAATATTCCACTATACCCACGATAGGCCTAATAAGAAATCAAATCATTTCAAATTTGGAATATAGTTATGTTCTTGGTTTTGACTTGACCATTTCAATCCCTTCTTTATATTTGTACAAACCCGGTCCATACATACGGTAATAGTTCAAAATAATTAAGTTGAATACATGATTTCAGCTATCTAAGCCAAAACAACTTGTTAGCTTATCGACCGTCCAAATGCATAGGCGTATCTTGAAACTGAATTTCAATGTCTTACTCTCTGGCCTTCAAACATGTTCATAACGATCAAAGAGTTCTGGATCCTACGGTCTATAGTTTTCTTGGGCCGGAGATTTACTTTCCATGTCCATCCAAAATTTGATACCGAGAAGCCTTTTCTTCCATCTGATCCCCTCTTTCAATCTAAATAACACACTAACAGTTCTCGAATCTACTTCCTGATGTTAAAACTCAAGATTATCTGCTCTCATTTCTTGACTGTTTCCAATTTTACTCTTTAATATAAAGTAAAAAATCTTGCATAGTTATCCAAAAATATATTGTATTTTCTTTGTATCCTAGACCAATCCGGCCTTAAATATTTTATTTTAAAATTTTGGTAAGTTATGCTACAATACTACATGTTCCAGATATCATGAGCTTCAAGTCTTTTTCTCTAGAAATCTCAAAATCATGATGGCTATGTTCTTTTTTTTTTTGGCATCCATGATGGCTATATAGTCTATAAACATTATTATACATTCCCTCGGTTGATCATAACCACTCGACAGAACCGGCCCGTGGGTCAAGCAAAAGAAGCAATGGCTTCCGGCTGTTTTATAATAAGAATATTTTCGGCCACATTTTTTAAAAACTCTCATTTATTCTAGTGGTAAAATATAAAAACTATTGATTCTCTTATACCAACTCAGGTTTGAACCCATACATAAGCGGCCAATTTTTTTTAATTTGCTTTTAGTCCTGAATTTCCTAGGACCACCTCTGCCACTCGAAGTCTTAATCGAGTCTACCAGACTCCAACGATCCAGGTTAAATACTTTAATCAGTTTTAAAGCCTTTTCAAAAAAAAAAAAAAAAAATCAGTATACTAAAGAGAATGGTTGCCAAGTTAGCGTTTCGGACGAGCTAAAATGAAAGTCTCCTTTTGTCTTTGAATCTTGTACACTTCAAAACAGTTCAGCAAAACATTAACATTTCATTATCGTACGGAGATGTTTTTATATTACGATGTAGATCTTTTAATAATATCAGAAGTATTTAAAGAACCATGTTGGTAAATTCTTAGAAATTTCTATAGGTAATTTTGTAAGAAAGTGCAGAATGCACGCCAAAGAAAACCTCAAACCAAAAACAACAGAAATACCAAGAAAATATGCAAAACAAATACATGGGGCAAGGATACAAAGTCGAACCCAAAGCCATTTTACTAAAAAAGTTGGCAATGAGAAAAAAAGAGTAGCCGCTCCATTAAAGTCTCAATCCAAAACCCATAGCTATTTACTAAGAAAGACTTGCAATTTCAATAAAGTCGAACCATAGCCATTTACCAAAAAAGAGTGCTGCAATTGAAAAAAGAATAAGGAAGAAGCCACTAATTCTTGTTTCTCTACATTACATGAACAACAAGAATGTAGAATTGTAGTTGGAACCCTAGTCCCAATAAAGATGTAAATGTACTTCTTTAATCTTTTATAGAATTTTGGTTCCTCCAACGCCAAATTTTATATCCACCTGAGAACATATGGATAGAAAAGGATGTGGGGCGGATTCTTCATGGTTGATTGTGGATGCGTTTCCATCGATGATTTTATGATAGGCTAAATATCCATGGATCGATCGTTAGTCTTAAATTGACTCACATCTTGATCAATTCTTTTTTTATTTACATAAGTTGTGTGCCTACTAGTTTGAACCAGACAAATTTGTCACGGTTACATATATTAGATGATTAGTCTCATGCATGGTTCAAAATCCAGAAAAACAATTAGTTACTGTCTCTTAGTTGAACTAATTCTTTAGCTTAGTGTTCATTTCTTCAATTTCATTTTGAAAGTTTTCATATATATGCTTGAAGAAAATCAAAAGTAAAAGATTGAGACGTTCATTTTTTCAAAAGGAGCATGCTCTGAAATTACTACTAATGAGCTGTTGTTGGCTTTTCTTTTTCACTTTAGACCATCAAAGGTAATGGGGAGGGCCTCCTCTTCGTTCTTCTCAAACTTTAGGCATCTCAATAATCTACAACCGAAAACAAAATCGTATAAACTAAAAATAGCCCATTAAATAGCAGAAGAAGGATAAATCTGATGCGTTGTAGTTTATCTTATAAATGTGATGCGTTTTTACAAAGAAAAATAAGTAAATTTTAGAAAATGGAAGATAATCGGAAAGGGAAGTTAACGAAATAATTTGATAATAATTGCAGGTCGGCTTGTCTATAAGTATCTTTTTGCAGGTTCGTGTGAAAACTTCGAGGAGTTGTAGCTGTTGAAACATTGGGTACGGAAACAGAATCCTTGGCAGAGAAGTTATTACTTTCTTGATTTCTTCTATAATAACAACAAAAAACAAAAGGCGCAGCACAATTACCAAAGATTCTACTTACTTTGGACTAGTTTAGTGGTTGGACGAAGACAATGCATGGCCGCTTGAATCTGATGGATTCTATTTTGATTTTTGTTATTGAACATAAACATTAGAATGACATAAAAGTACGCTGTTTATTTCATAATATAGGGTTAATTATATAGTATTATCTATAATTAATTGGTGAATTCCATCAGAACTAAAACAAAAATTGATTCATACGTTCCACCAAAATGATTAGACAAATAAGAAACGCACTATTTAAAATAACAATACATGTGATGTTGTCTGCTTCTTTCCTTCCTTCTTTTTTTGTTGTTGCTGCTATTTACATGTTTTAGGTTGTTTTCTAAAACCCTTTCATTTTTGAGTAGAATTCTTTCAAGATTTTTAATATTGATTACGAGATACATGATATGTCACTCATAGGAAATTTTCGCCTTTACTAGCCTATTTAGACATGTTAAATCGGTTTAACATATCATATTTGTTTTGCCGTCGCTGTGACTTGCGACTGGAACTTCTAATCATATATGTTTTTCGTTTGTATTTTGTAGAATCCCATAACTAGTCACGACGACCAATCACAGATCGCAAAAACTTTGAGTTTTAGTGGCTAAAATTTTCGATGATATGAAACCTAATTCAGATAATCCTAATAATTAGGAGACAAGAAAAATCAAATCAAAAGATAAAGAGAAGGTAAAAAGAAGACAAGGCACTAATCTTTAGTTGTTATAGTTTTCTCCATTAAAGAAAAAAGCGATAATGTTTGCTCTCATCTTTTAAGAAAGTGTTTTTATTGCGTTTGCTTTTCTCAAAAGCAATAGGACTCATCAACCCCCCCCCCAAAAAAAAAAAATCTAAAGCTCACTCCAAAAGACCAAGAATGCTTTGGATACTACAACTTCTTTTTCACATTCCTTTAAATTAAAATAACAATTTTCACGTTTATATTTAAAAAAAAAAAAGAAAAAAACCGAAGGCTTGAAATAATGATGATCCTCGTCACTTATTAAGCTACTCACACTATAAGCAGCAACTCCAGAAAAGTGAAAGCATGATGATGTCTAATGATGATGATCTCCTTGGATCAATATCTCTAAGGTTTTGCAGTTTCTTCGAAGACCCTTCTTCTCTTTCACTTCTCTAAACTTCAGAATTGTGTCGGAGATATTTTTTTTTTTCTTTTTCTGATGTCACAATGGCAGACAAGATATTATTCACTTTCTTGCTAATCTTGTCTTCAGTCTCTCCTCTCCTTTGTTCTCCTTTGAGTTCATCTCTTAATCTCTCACTAATCACACAAGCAAAAGTCCTTGTCTCTCTAAAGCAAAGCTTTGCTTCCTATGACCCTTCTCTTGATTCATGGAACATTCCAAACTTCAAATCTCTCTGTTCTTGGACAGGCGTTTCTTGCGACAACTTGAACCAGTCCATCATCACTCGTCTCGACATCTCTAACCTCAACATCTCCGGCACTCTCTCGCCAGAGATCCACAAGCTCTCGAGCCTAGAAGTCTTAAACATCTCAAACAACGCCTTTGAAGGAGAGCTGAAGCCACTTGAGTTCGGTCTAATGACTCAGCTTGTGACTCTTGACGCATACAACAACAACTTTGACGGATCACTTCCTCTGTCTATAACCAAACTCACTAAGCTCAGTTACTTAAATCTCGGAGGAAACTACTTTAACGGTGAGATCCCTAGAAGCTATGGAGGTTTCTTGCGTCTCAAGCATCTAGACTTATCCGGAAATGACCTAAGTGGGAGAATCCCTAACGAGTTAGGAAACATCACAACTCTTGAAAAGCTATACTTAGGTTACGACAACGAGTTCCACGGGATACCTAAAGGCTTAGGGAGCTTGATCAATCTTGTTCTGTTGGATTTAGCTAACTGCAGCTTGAGAGGATCAGTTCCTAGAGAGCTAGGGAAACTCAAGAACTTGGAGGTTCTGTTTCTACAGATCAATGAGCTCACAGGTTCTATTCCTAGAGAGTTAGGGAACATGACAAGGCTCAAGACTCTTGATCTCTCCAACAACTTTCTAGAAGGAGAGATTCCTATAGAGCTCTCTGGACTTCAAAACCTTCAAGTGTTCAACCTCTTCCTCAACAGATTACACGGTGAGATTCATGAGTTTGTAGCTCATCTTCCTGATCTTGAAGTTCTCAAACTTTGGCACAATAACTTCACTGGAAAGATTCCTAAGAAGCTTGGAGCAAACGGTAAGCTTGTGGAGATTGATCTGTCTACCAATAAGCTCACAGGTTTGATCCCTCAAACACTCTGTTTCGGAAGAAAGTTAAAGATTCTCATTCTCTTCAACAACTTCTTGTTTGGTTCTCTCCCTCAAGATCTTGGCCAGTGTGACTTGCTTTGGAAGTTTCGTCTAGGTCAGAACTTTCTGACAGGTAAACTGCCAAAGGGTTTGGTTTATTTGCCACATTTATGGCTTCTTGAGCTTCAAAACAACTTCTTGACCGGAGAAATCACAGCACGAGAAGCCGGTAAAGCGGGACCATCTAACCTCACTCAGATCAATCTATCTAACAATAGGTTATCCGGACAAATCCCCAGTGAAATCGGAAGGTTGAAGAGTCTTCACAAGATTGACCTAAGCATGAATAACTTGTCAGGCAAGGTACCTCCAGAGTTAGGTGGTTGTCAGTCATTGACCTACTTAGATTTGAGCCATAACCTGATCTCAGGTCAGATTCCGGTTCAGATTTCGCAGATTCGGATGCTAAACTATCTGAATGTTTCTTGGAACTCGTTAAACCAGAGCCTCCCTGTTGAGCTTGGATACATGAAGAGCTTGACATCAGCAGATTTTTCACACAACAACTTCTCCGGTTCAGTACCAACTTTAGGGCAATTCTCTTACTTCAACAGCACGTCATTCCTCGGGAACCCTTTTCTCTGTGGATACTCTTCCAACCCTTGCGACGGTTCTCAAAACCAATCTCAATCTCAGCTTCTTAACCAGAGAAATGCTAGTTCTCATGGCAAAAACTTCAAGATGTTATTAGGGTTAGGGTTACTAGGGTTCTTCTTGATGTTCATCATTTTAGCTGTGGTAAATAATTGGAGAAAGAAAAGGAATAGTCAGAATCTATGGAAGCTCATAGGATTTCAAAAGCTAGGTTTCAGAAGCGAGCACGTTTTGGAATGCGTTAAAGAGAACAATGTGATCGGTAAAGGCGGTGCAGGGATCGTCTACAAAGGGTTAATGCCAAACGGTGAAGAAGTTGCGGTCAAGAAGCTCTTAGCCATAAGCAAAGGATCATCACACGACAACGGTTTATCCGCTGAGATTCAGACATTAGGTAGAATCAGACACAGAAACATTGTGAGATTGCTAGCTTTTTGTTCAAACAAAGACGTGAATCTCCTTGTTTACGAGTATATGCCAAACGGTAGTCTCGGAGAAGCCTTGCACGGGAAAGCTGGAGTGTTTTTGAAATGGGAGACGCGGTTACAAATAGCGTTGGAAGCGGCTAAAGGATTGTGTTATCTTCACCATGATTGCTCACCGCTTATAATTCACCGAGATGTGAAATCAAACAACATCTTGTTAGGTCCTGAGTTTGAAGCTCATGTTGCTGATTTTGGGCTTGCTAAGTTTATGATGCAAGACAATGGAGCTTCACAGTGTATGTCATCCATCGCAGGCTCGTATGGTTACATCGCTCCAGGTACATGACTGAACCTAATAATTTGTTTCATAACATGTAACATTCAAAACTAGGGGGGTGCATGTATTTGTAAATTATAACAAATGATTTGTAAACAATACTTTTTAATTAGCTATATATGTGAAAACTTTAGTTTTAGTATATGATTATATAGACGTAATTTTATATTCTAGTAGGTCATGTTGAGTTTAGTATAACTATATGGTTTCGATATAATTAACCTGGCCAAATTTTTTGTATTAGTCAGGGTTTGTTTTAGTTGAGCCGATTCGATTCGATTCAATTGCTCATTTCTACGTAAAACTTGTGTATATATATGGTAGATTTGAACCTATTTTACGGGATTTTTATCATGCAGAATATGGATATACACTGAGAATAGACGAGAAGAGTGATGTGTACAGCTTCGGAGTGGTGCTACTGGAGCTAATAACAGGACGAAAACCACTAGATAAATTTGGAGAAGAAGGGATAGACATTGTGCAATGGTCAATGATTCAGACAAATTGTAATAGACAAGGTGTGGTAAAGATCATTGACCAGAGACTGAGCAATGTGCCATTGGGAGAAGCCATGGAACTGTTCTTTGTGGCAATGCTATGTGTTCAAGAACATAGTGTGGAGAGACCGACCATGAGAGAGGTTGTCCAAATGATTTCTCAAGCTAAACAGCCCAATAATATCTAAATTCAGTGATTTTATATATATGTTAAATATTTTTTTTGCAATGTTCTATGTGTTTTATAGAGTCGTTTTAGAAAAGTAATGATGGTTTGGTAATATGAGGGGATAAGAATTACATATTCGTGACACATCATTAGGTGTGTTTTTTGAAAGCTATTTATTTTTATTTTTATTTTTATTTTTTGACAACGCCTTTCTGAAAGCTGTTAGAGGAAATATGTTAACATTTAGTAGAAATCGGTACGAACCTTTCTGTCTCCAATAGAACATTTTATGGTCTGGTTGTTGGGATACAAAATGGCTGAAGAATTTGAAATTGTTTCGGCTATATATGTTTAGGTTCAAATATGAGGTCGGTGACCAAAAGGATTTGGTAATTGCATCTAAAGCTTTATGTTTTAAACTTCAAAAGCTGTCCCGTGTATGCAATTCATGTTTTATACATTTAAATTACAAAGAACTGGTAATGAAGGACATATAAATAGAGTCGAAGTAAAGACTGAAAAAAAATTATATTTAAAGAAAAATCATAAAGTTGCATAAGAGTATCATTCAAAGGAAAAAGAAAACCAGCAGCAAATTATTAGAAAGACATATGACTATCAATGTGATTTGGGAAAGCATGTAGCGCATACATAGGTCTGTCGCCATTACTGACATATCTATCATCTGCCATTCCCTTAAATTCAAATCTTCTCCAACTGTTTCTTACCGGATCATGTAGTAAAATATAACGCAAATGGCTAAACCTGTTTGGTACATAAATAAACGCACCAGCACGAGAGACACATGTTAGCTTGAAACTGATAGTCATACTCTGATTACAGTTACCAAAACTTGAGAGATAGTCTTGACTTGACCACTTGTGTTTCTGTGCATCCTCCAAAATCCAGAATCTACTGAGGTCATTTTGATTTAAACAAGCCAACTTTCCCTTATAAGTCATCAGGAAATCTCCATCAAATCCCGATGGTAGTTTTATCATATTGAACTTTTCAGATCTAACGTCAAAGCTCATTACAACATTATCAAGGTCCTGACATGAAAAAGCTAGATAATATATCACACCGTCAATGCATCGCCCAGATGTATCCCAGCTAAAACGATGCATATGGTTAATCTGGACTCTTCTCCATGATTTTTGAACAGATCCTAATGTAAAAACTCGGCACACATAGCGAGTCTTTCTATATGAAATGCACACTACTTTATGTTTACCTTCAGTGGGATCATATCCTAAAAGCAGTATTGTTCTGTACATGCAGGCCTTATAGGGTTTTGGTATAGCTGGTAAAGTTATTAACTGTTTTGTGCTAGGGTTCCAGATTATTGGCTTTTTTGATGGAAAGCAGATCAAGCCATGGACAGATTCGGTAGATGGGAAGTTCCTAATATTCGGTGTATTCGTCATATGGTGATGATCAAAATACAGCGAAGAAGAGTACGATCGGTTCGAGTCCAGAGCATGCTGTGGCATCGAGGAAACAAACAACTTGCCATCTTTATGGAAACAAAGTAGAAGGCGCTGCCGTGGGGAACGAGTTTCAAACAACCTGATGAAAGATGGATCGGTGGTGATTGATGACCAAAGCTTCGACACGCAACTGAACCTAGCAACAGATTTCTCAGGCAGCCTTAATAGTATCTCTGTGATTAGGTCGGTAGGAAGCGATTGTGTTCTTTTTTTGTAGTTTGTTTTTGTCTTGTCTTGGTGCTCCATATTTACTCAAAACCCTAATTTTGATCATAAGAGACTCTTATTTATGTATATATACTAGTCCCTCAGTTTCACTTTATTTGTCATTCTAGGTTTTGGCACACAGATTAAAGAAATATTTAATTTTACATATTTCCAAGATAAAAACACAATTACCTATACACCTAACCACTTTTTAACCAATAGAAAATAAAATATTATATAAAACTAATAAATTTTGCCTCGAAACTTTAAAACGACACTTAATTTGTGACAAAAAATAAGTCTAGAATGACATATATTTTGAAATGGAGGGAGTAAGAGTTAGCGAATTTATTCCTTTTTTGGTCCAAACTATTAGATTTTTTTTTTGAGTATGTTAGATGTTGGTAATTGTTCGTTTTGGTCTCGTGATTTTATTACGGTGACGCCTCTGGAGTCTAACCAAAATTATTATCTTTAGGGCGTCCGGCTCCATCGAGTGGGTTCTATGGTTTTAAATTTTGTAGGATTCATGCGGAACAAACATATTGATTACATTGTGGTGTTTAAGCTAGGTTGAGCTTGATGTTGGCTAATGTGATAGTATCGTTGGTCTCCCTTTTATAGTACACGCAAGCAACTACGCACCTTTTTTCGTCAACCTAAGCTTTGGTTACTCTGTTATTTATCGTTCCATGCGCATATATTTAAATGGTTAACTGAAGTTCTTATGTATAAGACCATAGTTGTGAGTCTATGATTATATTAACGCAAATCCAACAAAAAGTCTGTATCTCTTTCCCTTGCAAATAAGACAAACATACTTGTTCATTGTAAGATAGCGGTTTGCAGACCATATTCTCGTACCTTAACCATGAACTATTTTATGAGATATTGGCTTATTATACTTGCCATCAAAATAGCTTTGATATGGTTTCTTGTGAGGTTGCCATGTCCAAGGACAGTTTTTTCCTTCTCCGTATCGGACTTGAAGGTTATCAAAATAATCACCTCCTAGCAGAAGTTCACGCATGACTTCTCAGATTGAATTTTAACCATTGGACCACTAACACGGGTTAATTATTTAAATAATTTATATTAATAATATTTTATTGTTTTAATTAAACATATGATTTTAGATAAATAATATTATAATTAAGTTAAATATAATAATAGACATAATGTATTAGTTATTGTATTGTTTTAATTAAACATATCATTTGATTTTTATATATATGTATATAATTATATTATAATTAAGTTTGATATAATAATTGAAAAATTCCCTTGGATAACCATAATAATATTACTGGTGTTTTATTTATTTTAACTATCCAATCTAATACTCATTTACCTTTTACATATTTCTTACTTCTTTAAAAAAGTTATATTCCACTCAAGAATTAAGTTGGACAACTGAATGAAAATCGAGTTTTCAACATTTTATCCTTTTCCATCATTTAAAACGTTTATCTTTGCAAAATAAAATAAAATAGAAGAATCCAAATCTAGACATTAGGTGGACTAATTCTAATATGTCACCCAATTTTTATCAGTCATTTTGAACCAAATCCAATCCAGTTGAAATGATCCGGTAGAAGTATCAATTAACTTTTTGGTTCGGTTAAACAAAATCCGGTTCACATTTTTGGTTGGTAAGATTCATAATATGATTTAAGATTAAACCGACTAGAGCACTTATAAAGCATCTTCTTCCTCTCCGCCTGGAATTCTTTTGGAGCTTCCCAGTTGCGCGGATCTGAGTATAAAAGGTTCGCCGTCGCTTTTCTCATCTTCGAAACCCTAATTGATTTTTTCGCTTTACGAGTTTTATAAGATTCAATTAATTTGAATTTGGATTAGGTTTTAAGAAAAAATGAAGCATTCGAAGGATCCGTTCGAAGCAGCGATTGAGGAGGAGCAAGATGAATCACCGCCGGAATCACCGGGAGGCGGTGGTAGCGACGAGGGACGGCTTGAGATCGAGCAGACTCCGGAAGAGAGTGAGAGGGACGTAGGTGTTCGTCGTCAACCGAAGAAGTTCAAATCCTCTGTTACTGTTACTGAGGCTAAGAACAAAGATGAAGATGAAGAAGAAGAGGAAGAGAATATGGAAACTGAGTTAACTAAGTACCCAACTACTGCTGATCCCGCTAAGATGGCTAAGATGCAGTGAGTGTTTCTCTTATTAGCTTATTAAAAAAAAATCTGAACATGATTGATTGATTGTGGGGATACTTTAGGGTTATTTTGTCGCAGTTCACTGAGGATCAGATGAGTAGATATGAGTCTTTTAGGAGATCTGCGTTTCAGAAAGGAAACATGAGGAAGGTAAAGTACTGAACACAATCGAAAACATGTTTTTTTGTTTCTTTAAGAAGTGAGTTAATTTTAGCTTTGTTTGTTTGGATACAGTTGTTACAGGGAGTGACAGGGAGTCAGAAGATCAGTATGCCAGTGATAATCGTTAACTGTGGTATTGCGAAGATGTTTGTTGGTGAACTCGTGGAAACAGGTACCAATCTTCATATTCTTATAATGTAAGAAAACCACTTGCATTGATGGAATGAGTTGGTTTGCAGCTAGAGTTGTAATGGGGGAAAGGAAAGAAACAGGACCTATCAGACCTTGCCATATCAGAGAGTCCTATAGGAGACTAAAGCTCGAAGGCAAAGTACCTAAACGATCAGTTCCACGCCTTTTCCGATAGGCAAAGCAACTTGAGAAGTTACTTTAATTAGATATTTGAGTCTATGGGTTTAAGCTGAAGTGATTTGCCTATCATTCCCATCAGAAAGATGCTTATCTGGTGATCAATCTTTGTATACAGAACTATTTGTAATTGGTTCCAGGTTTTCATTTGTTATTGGTTCAAGTACTCGTTTATTTGGTTTAAGTTTTAATAAATGGTGATCCGATTTGGTTTAAATATTTCAGTGTTTTATTCAGTTACGATTTTATTATCCAACCCTACTTTTTGCCTTGGTCGAGAATCTTACAAGAAGTTTCAGTTTGAATGTGTGTCTTCGACGTTATTATAAAGCGTCACGATCAGAATTGGATCTATTGTCAAATTGGTAGTACGGAGACGTTTTTTAATCACACGTTCCCTGGCTGCGAAAGAGAGACTGTGTAGTGGGCCTTAATATGGGCCGGGTTTTGTAACGTAAGGCATAATAGACTATTAACGGAAACAGAAGAAACTATGGGGTGTGAAATGGAAGTCCACAGAAATGTAAAGGACTGGAATAGAAAACTTAGAAGAATAAAAGAAGTATTTTGACACAATAACGCACCCACTATCTTTCTCTCCTTCCCCTTCGCCTTCTTCTTCCTCTTCCTCTCCTCCTCACTGTTAACGCAGAGAGCCTCCGTTTCTTTCTTTTCTTCTTCTTCCTATCTCTAAAACAAATACGTTCTTCTTATTTCCATTCTCCTTCTTATATATAGTCCTTTAAATCCTCCGCTGATCGGTACGAAAAAACAAAACCACGAGGTGGCTGTGTTTCATTTAATCAATAATAAAGAGAATCGAACGAATCGTATTATTTGTGACCATAATCACAGATCGTGAATCGAGTAAAACATACCATTACAAAACTCGAATCGGATATATTCACTTGGGGTATAATGATGAGGTTTCTCTCTTCTTCATCTTCATTTTTTTTTTTAATTTTACCTCTCTGAGTTTTTCTCCGTCCCGTTTTCCCTCTCTGTTCTTCTTCCTGATACGCTGACCATCGAGAGTTTTTTTTTTTTCCCACTGATTTGGATTTTTCTTTGTCTGTTTTTGTTTTGTTTTTTGGTTTTGAGTTTCTCAAATGGTTTATATGGATCTGGGGTTTGATCTGAAAAACATCAGATTTCAAGGTGTTTTATAACTAATGTCCAAAAAGCTTTTCAAATCTCCTTCTCCATATTTAGCACTTTTACAATTTGATCACTATATTCAATCCACAAGCTTGTTAATAAATCTCCAAATAAAAATCCTCTGAGCTTCTTCTCCCTCATAAGCTTCTGATTCAGATTCTTTTCTTCAGTGATTCCCCTAAACCATTTGATCTGATTTTTATTTTATTAGGTATCAGAGAGTAAGCCCAGATTGTCTTCCCCTTACAAACTCAGAAAAGAAGCCTTACTTAAGACCTTCACCTTCAACACCAGACACCACTTCCATCGCCGCAAGAGGATTCAACGGCGGATCATCATCATCATCACTAGACGGAGTCCCCAAAGGATTCCGCGTCAGATCCACCCTACAACCAGATCCTCCCACCTCTACCAAGCGCGGCGGAGATGTGCTGTTACAGTGGGGACAAAGAAAACGATCGAGAATCTCCAGAGCCGAGATCCGATCCTCCACCACCACCACCACCGTGGCCGCCGCGGCAGATGACTCTTCGTCTTCTTCGGGACATGGTAAGATTCAATCGAGCAAGCTTTTGAGAAGATCGGTTAATCCGTCTATGCCTCCACCACCTCCTCACCCGGTTTCCGCTAACCGGAGTACAAACCATAGAAACGGTTTCGTCGGCAGCAAGGAAATATTCCTTTCCAGGTTTAGCTCAAAACTTTCTTCTTTCTATAAAATTTCCTGTTTTGAATATATTTTTTTTACCTTATTTGTAAGAATAAGCTTTGAATTGTCTTTTTTTTACCGATTTGTTACTCAAAAAAAACTTCTCTAGATTTTGTGTTTAAAGTTTATTTTTCTCCGATCGTGACTTGTTCATTTTGTGTGATAAATACTGTTTTTTGCAATTTTTAATTTTTTTGGTTTAATTAATTTTGTTTTGTTACTTATTTTTTAGATGCAGGCTAGGTCTTGTTTGGTTGGTTCTATTTTCTGTTAAAGCAAAGCATTTATCAAAGTTGGTGATCCAAAACTCTTTTTATGAAGTTACAATAATACCCTTTGGATCACACATAGAAGCAGAGTTTTAATGTCTTTTGGTTTTTCTCCAAAGCTCTTCTATCTTTAGGTTTTGGGTGAAATATGTAAACAAAAGTTTCAATCTAATTTTTTTATTATAAAAATTTAAGATCTAGTATTTTGCTTGCCTTGACCTATTCTTGAAGTATGGCTTCCTTGTTGAAAATCATACTATTTATCGATTTTTAGATTTCTTGTTATTTTCTGTTTTGGTCCCTATAAGATAATAATCTTTGCTTTTATTTGGTCTGCGTTTTGATTCTGATTCTTAAATATGTAATGGGTACTACATATTTAACACACCCAAAAAAAAACATTTCTTCGTTTCATCATAAAACTCTTTCAAAGTGTCAATAAATAAATAAATAAACCCGTGGATTGAAGCTCATCATCATGCCCAGGAATCAAGAAGATCGATCAGCCAACGGATCACCATCAAGGAACATCAACAGCAGCCGTACGGTGTCCAGATCGGGAGGCTCAAAGCGATCTCCACCGTCTCCTGACCAGATCGAGAAGAGATCAAGCGTCAGAGATCATCATCATCAGAACCAGAGACAAAACGGGCTGGATCATCATAACCATAATCAAAGAGTGAACAGATCAGAATCAACGGCTCAGGCTCATCCAGAGCTGGAGACAAACAACAATGGAGAGAGAGAAAAAGCAACGCAAGTGGAAGTGACAGAGTGGCCGAGGATCTACATTGCCTTGTCTAGGAAAGAGAAGGAAGAGGATTTCTTGGTTATGAAAGGCACAAAGCTTCCTCATCGACCCAGGAAACGGGCTAAGAACATTGATAAATCCCTCCAGGTAAAAATATATTCAATCATTTTTTGTAACTCATGGTGAAAAATCATAATAAAGAAAGTTTGTGTGTTTTGTGGACAGTATTGTTTTCCAGGGCTGTGGCTGTCTGATTTACCCAAGAACCGTTATGATGTTAGGGAGAAGAAAAATGTGAAGAAGGTAACCATTTAACTTTACTAATCCTTTTTTTAGTTATTAGTTCTGTGATAATGACAAAATATTATCTTTTAACCTATATAAAGACTATATAAACGAAGAAGAGAAATGGAATATATTGGGGTTAAGTCTATTATATTTTTACATAATAGTTTATGTGTGGCAGAGAGGTGAATTATAGACAAAATTGGGTGGACCTTATATATTATTGTTAGTGACATAATAATAGTATTGTATTTTTATTGGAACGAAGAAAATGGACAAGACATGGGACCTACTATCCCACCTAATGCAGGGAATAATGAACTGTTTTTCTCTCTTTCTTTAAGGAAAAGAGACAAGAACACTAGTTTATATTTTTTTGTAAAAGTAATATTTGATAAAACATTAATAATAAAAATAAAACTCAAGCTGGCTTTTTCTCTATTTCCTTAACACGTTAAAACAATATTTCATCTTTTGATTGAGAACACTATCATTATTGTTCACTCACTGTTGATTTAAAGTCTTGTTACTAGTGTATCTTGATCAAATTTATACTGGTTAAGAGAGATGTTCAGGTCTCGCTTATGCGACTTTAGGCGCATGTCAACATAGAAAATGTAATATGATCAAATGAGTTTTAGTTAGGTAATGAAAACTGTCTTATTGAAGAATTTACTGTAATTAATATGGCAGCAACAGCAGAAACGGAGAGGGTTGAAAGGTATGGAAGATTTGGACACCGACTCGGAGTAACTTCTGGTTCTTTCTTTCTTTTTTTTTCCTTTGTGGTATTCGATTTTCTCTTTTTGAGAGGGGAGGAAGCACGTGTGGGCTAGTTTGTGATGTTCGTGCGAAATGGGCCAACAAGAACCAGTGGAGCAATAGCTATCGAGAAGCTCCCCCTGTTTATTTCCTATTTTCCTTATTTTTTTCATCCTTCTACAGTTTATAAAATTCCTTCTTTTGTTTCGGTTCGTGTACAAAAAAAGAGGTGGAAATGCAACGTCATAAATCAGATAATCCACCTTTCCTTATTTTCCAACAGTAAAACTTGTGACTTCCAATTAAGTTAAAGATTGATCAGCTAAATTAATTCCCATATCCAGAAAATAAACAATCTTATTAAATTTATAATCCAAAAAAGAACAATAATCAGCTAAAGGAAATATATCTGATTACGTGAAAGATTCTTTGTCATTAGTAGATTCGAACCTTCATTAACTTCAAGTCAGTGCCAGCCAAAGCATCTCGCTGTTTGGTTCTGAATATAAAACAAAACACGCTTCATTTCCCATAGTTTATAGTATTTGTTCGGTTCACCTAAATGCCGTCTTCCTTACGTCAACAACCGAACCAACCCCGGTCCAATCCTAACCGGAAAGGGTTTTATTAACTCACTTAAACCAAAACCAAAAAAAAAATTCAATCTCCAGTAAACCGATGGAAATCTCCGGACGGCGAATGAGAAGATTCCGGATGAGATTCGGAAGTAACCGCCTCGCCAACGACGGCTCCTTCCTCCCTACGCGAAACGGAGGCAACAACACGGAGAACGAAGCTTCATGCTGCTACTGCGACCTCAAAATCACGATGTTCAACGAACCAATCTCCCGCCTCGGGAGAAGATTCTCCGGTTTGATGAAGATCTGGTTCTCAATCGGACTCGGATTCGGCGTTGCGTCTCTCCTCCTTGTCACCATCTTCCTTCTTCTTCAGTTCCACCCTAGACCACTCTCTAACCGCCTCGCTTCCGTTGTGTTCGGATTCTCTCCTTCCACGGTGACCTAAAAAAACCCTAATCTCGAAAACTTAGATGAAGAAGCTAAAAAGTTAACTTTTTTTTTTTGCAGCGTGTGTCACTTTCAGGGTTCGTTTATGTGTTTGTTTCCACTGTTGTTACTGTTTTGGTTCATGAACTGGGACATGCTCTTGCAGCTGCAAGGTCAGTTTTTTTATAAAGGTCACACCTTTACTGTTAGTTTATTATATGAGTTGCTTACTGAATTGAGTGGCAGTGAAGGGATACAGATGGAGTACATTGCTGTTTTCGTCGCGGCTGTTTTTCCGGGAGGTCTTGTAGCTTTTGATCATGATCTGTTGCAGTCACTTCCGAGCTTTAATGCTCTTCGTGTTTACTGTGCTGGTATTTGGCATAACGCTGTGGTTCGATCTTCTCCTCTCTTCTCATTTTTTGTTTTCATTGTTTAGTGTGATCTTGATTGTGAGTGGACGTTTCTTTCTTTTTGTAGTTCTGTGCACTCTGCGCGTTCGGGTTGTTTCTCTTGCCTGTGTTGCTGTCTCCGTTCTACAAGCACGGCGAAAGCCTTGTGGTAAGCTTTTTTATTAGGTTTGATTGATCTGTCTTGAAGAAGCTCTAATGCTTGAGATTCTTGTGTAGGTTGTGGATGTGCCTTCTAAGTCTCCGTTGTTTGGTTACTTGTCTCCTGGTGATACTATCGTGTCCTTGGATGGGATACGGGTTTATAAACCTAGCGAGTGGATTGAACTGTCAGCGATTTTGGATAAGCAGAACACTGAGACGTCGAATGCTTCCTTGAATAGTCTTGGAGGCTCGAGGAGGTTTCATCATGGGAAGGGTTACTGTGTCCCTGTCTCTCTGATGGAAGTAGGGTTTAAGGGGAAGATGGTTGAGAACCGATATGTTTGTCCTGGTGATCTCACTCCGTTTTCAACTATGCCGTGCGTAAATATAGCAGCTCCAAGAGAGGTTTCGGTTTGTTTGGATGCAAAGGATATTGTCAAGCTTAACAAATGTGGTGATGGGTGGGTGACAACGTCAGAGACCGATGATAAAAGTAGCTGTGTGTGTCCCCAGGTGAGTGAGAGTATCCTCAAAACAGTCATTGTGGTTTTTCGCTTTCTATGGATTTTGATGATTTGATGTTTCAGGGGGAGATGTGTTTACAAGCAATGCAATCTCCAGGCGTATCATGGACAGAGATCACTTATAAAAGAACCTCGTCTCAGGATTGTTCTAGAGTTGGTCCGGATTTCAATACCTCGAGTTGTGTCGGGACGTTTGTGTTTGTCGGTGATCTGATCGCCATGTCACTCTCGGTTCAGTTAACTGCGTACCAACCTCGTTGGATATCTAACTTATTAGTCAAATCCTTCCCGGATGTCATAGAAAGAAGCTTGAACTGCACGTTTCACGTCTCTCTCGCACTAGTTCTTCTCAACAGCTTACCTGTAAGTTCGGTTACTACAGTCTCATGTAAATGGAGATGATCTCGTTTGCTTGGTCTTAATTAATAGTTGAATTTTTGATAGGTGTATTACCTTGATGGTGAATCCATTTTGGAGTCCAGTCTCCAGTATTTCACATGGTTAAGTCCAAGGAAGAAGAAGAAAGCTCTTCAAGTATGTCTTTTTGGAGGGAGTCTCCTCACACTCCTCGCCTTCTTCAGAATCTTCTTCGTCGGTTTACCTCCGAGTCGATAGTAAATGCCGGCGAATCTTGATTCCCAAATGATTACGACATCTTTGCTCTTGTGATTCGTGGCTAAGAGGAGCTCGAGCGCCTTGAACATATGAAGTTGATGCAACTACACTCAGATTCGCCGCTTACAGAAGAAGAACACGAATCATGGAAAACTATGGTTCATGTTGAGAATGTTCATGTTTGATCTCATTCACTGTAGATAACTAGATATTGTTGCATAGAAACACACCTCTTATTTATGGGTTAACAACCCTTGATGCATCGAATTTGTCATCAAACTGATATGAGTATAAATCAAATGAGTTGCTCAGAAGATTTTCTTGAGCATTTTGGGCTAAATGTGTGAAAACCTCGTAACATATTCTCCAAATTCATTTAAAAGTTTGTGAGATTTTAGGGATCCAAAAGCAATATTAAGCCCAGACAGATTCGTAGACCAAAAGCTCAAACGTATACACACAACCAAGTCTATGACGCACTCTTTTTCTTATACAAACGTTCGAGCCCACAGGACCGAATTAAAAATGATTAAGGTACATTTTGCAACAAACCGAGTTATTAGTATATTGGGTCATTTATTTAGGTCTTCAAATTAAAAAAGCCCAAACTTATAGCTCGACTGAAAGATTAGGAGAATGCTAGTCAGAGTGAAGAGGACACACTTTAAACTTTTTTGAAATTTGAGACATTTAGATTGTTTTTTATCGTTTGACCAAAAAAGATTGTTTTTTATCAGGTTTAAATAACTTATTGTAAAATTAGAGTTTATATCCATATTTTTTTCATGTGTTCGGTTTAAACTGTCGACATTTTTTACTTTTTTGTGATAAGCAAAAGACAATTCATATTTATTTGGTTTTATGTTATATGAATTCTAAAAAAATCATGATGGTAACCAAGCATTTCATATTATAATTTCTAGATGAATGAAAAATACAAACAAATCTAAATAATTATTGAAAGAAAAAATTATAAACCGTCTTCGTTAACCACACAATAAAGAAGACGATCAAAAATTTTATTTGTACACTTGATTAATATCGGTTTTATATTCTTAACCGAATGGAATTTAGTTTCGGTTAAAACATCATCTACGATAATTGTTCTTTCTCATTTTTGTAATGTAAAATTTATGTGCATGCATACTTAGAACAACATATATGACTGTCATACATTGCCTTATATACTTTGCTATACATCAAACTTCGATGCACAAATAGCTTCTCTGCCTTTGAATAACATCAATAGATTAGCAAAACTTTCGATCTAAGCATCCATCGATATGAGAATCTATGAACTTCTTCTCTACTCATCAAATTGTTATGAACATGTATGTCTTTATGTTATTCGTTAATCTCTCAAATATGTATACTATCAACAAAATAAGTCGTTTCAAATTTATGTGATGGTAACACTATTGGTTGATATATTGCTAACACCCTATGGTAACATTAGCTCTTCAAAATGTGGCTTCAATTGATGTGAGCATCTACGAAATTATGCGCAGCTCAGCAATATGTTATTTCATTTTATGCAGTTCAAAATTTGATTTCAATAGACACAATTAGATTTATATCAAATTTATCGAAAAAAGCCAAAAAATTCACCGATCGCTTATAAGAGAAATAGAAAACGTCTTGATGTTTAGTTTAAGCAAGAAGTGGAATACCTTAGTTTCAAAATTCTTAAATTTTTATGAAAAACTCTATTAAGTTCATACGTCAGCTTCTCTCGTATCAAATCAATGTGAAACACGCACGTGACAAATAAATATAATGTGAACCTGTTAATTATAATGCTTCTCCAATATATAAGGAATAATGGAAAATAAGATATTTCGATTCAAAAGTTATAATATTATAAGCGGATTTAATAAATCTTGACCTCCTTTCTATTTGATGCTTGATTTTGATTATCATTAGATCATATATTCTCTTTAGCAGAATTTTTGATTTGATATCTTAACTAACGTTCATTGGGGATTTAATGATGAGAAAAAACCCACGGGCGATGATATTATAATAATTCTTTCTAATGTTCTTTTTAGTTTCTTATTAACAAAGTTTTAATTGTAAACATGACTATGAATCTATGATTATTAGAATAAACCAAAGTAAGAAACACCAACCGCAACCTTAAAGGTGGACCAAAGAGCAAAAGATATGATTCGTAGTCCACGGTCCATCCTTACGATTATTATTCTTCTTATTAAGCATAGGCTCCTATTTCATATTCTTCTTCTTAGCTAAAAAAAAAATCTAAAATGTCCTTTTACAAAATGTCAAAAAGGGCACTACGTAAACAAAAACAATTATGTACATAGAAGAAAGTCTGTTGTTCACATGTTACGGTATGAATCCAACATATGATATCAAGAATTCAATTTTTCTGTTAATTAATTTCTGAGTGTTTTTATTGAATAATGTAAAAAAAAAAGTGTAAAACGATGAAGGTTTAACTTATAGGTATATGGTAACGTGACACATAGAAAATTATATTAGAAGGTTAAACACTATTTTTTTACCAACACAGTTACACCTGTTTATAAATTATATGTTTTATAGTTTTCACAATCGCAGTAGATAGACCAAATTACTTACCAAGAAAATTATAAAACAAAAGACCAAAAGTGATGATAAAATATGAAAACGCGTCCATGTGGACCAATGAGGAACCGGGGGTAGGCTATTCATATTACGTTGGGCTTGCTTCTTAGCCCAAGCCAAGTGGTATTTAAAAATCAAAACTCACCGTGTCATCCATCAATTCGCATGTGGATTATGAGATCAAAACCTCCTTTGCTTTGATAAAAAAAAAACCTCATTTGCACAATATTAGAAAAACATGTATAAATATTTAAACTTTTACAATAAAAATGTTTGCAATGAAATCAACGTCCATTACTATCATTCTCTTACGTCTAGTTTCCAACTTATAATATTGTAAGAATATATATTATCAAATAAACTTAGGAGTTTAAGAGAAGACATGTGGGGATGTGGCTCGACTGTTTGGAGACTTCTCCTACAGCATGCCATGGTTCGACCCATGATCAAGACATTAATTACACCTCTGAGAGGTTCCCTCTCCTTACGTTTTTTTATATTTTTGTTGTTTTAATATAATATTTATTTTACAAAAAAAAGTTATTTTACAGATTGATTAAAAAGAGAGTAGCGACGTAAGAATTGAAATTTGAAATATAAGAATTTTAACTACAAGGAAATATTACACCGACATATAGTTAGTCTAAAAACAGGAAATTAAATAATAAATTTATGTATTTCATATTTAAATCCACATACATATAAAATGTAATATATAGGAAGTCGGTTACATTTTTGTTTTCATAGAATAAATTCTTTTGGTTGGGAACAAAATTTTGGACGGTTTTCAACAAAGTTTCTAAATATATCAATTTGTTATTGCTAACAGTAAAGCTCAGTGCCAAAATAATATTTCATCAAAGATACAGGAAGCATCGTAAGTACGTAACATACGTCGGAAGATAGACAACCGTGTCGGTGTTATTGGCTTAAAGCTAAGCGACAAAGAGCCAATAGATTCGGGAACAGTACTCATTTCGATTCTTGACTATTACTCTGACAAGATTTCTTTGTGACTCATTAAAAAATTAAAAGCTTTACTTTTAATTTTAGTATTCTTTGTTTTCTTAAAAAATCATTTTCAACCTAAAGTCCAGCATCTTTTTGAAACAAAGTCTTTCTTTTTCTTTTGGATAATAATCAAAGTTACTGTTTTTCAGTTTTCGATTCATTGGATCAAATGCTGATAATGGACAAAATAAAACATTGCTACCACAATTTGTTTTAATTAATTCGAGGAATTCAAAATTAAAATCTCATATATCCTGCCGTCAAAGGCCAAGCCCCTTCAAAACAGGATTCAAACTAAGAAGCCTAGCTAGATAGCACGTCTTTTTTAAAGGCTTCAGATTTTAGAGAACATTACTAGATTACTCCACACTTTCTTCTATCATAATACATATACAAATTAACATTTTAATTAGTTAATTTTTATCCTCGTATTTTTATGATCTAAAAATTATCTAATCTATAAAGAGAAAAATTGCAAAATTTGTATAGAAATATGTTAAATTTAACCGGTTTAGATCATGTCAGCGACGGATAAAAAAATTGAAACAATAAGTTGTACATAAAATTGTATTGAAAGTTTGAAACTAGTTTTTTTTCAACTATCTATACAATGAGATCAAATTCTAGTCGATATATTGGTTGTTTCGAAAACTACTCGATTTGATATATAAAAAAGGACACAAAGGTTCTTATCCTATTTTCCAAGTGAGTCTACGTGAACAGTTTCGCTCCTAAGAATAAAGTTATTATGCCACATAAGAAAAAATTCAAATTCAAAATGCTGGTTGTTAAGACATTTGAATTAAAATATATTACACTCGAAACAATTAATGTCGACGATCACCACCTTAAAATCATTGTCATTTAGAATATGTTCTCTAATGATAGTATCTTTAATTTTAAATCCTTGATTACATTAACCAGCGATTGTTATAAGTTTGCAAGATTTTTCTGAAGAGGGTGATTGTTTGTGCATTGAGTGGCTGTTTTATTGGTGGTTGGTATTTGGTAAACTCAGTGCCGGTCCTGAGAACATGTACATTGATGAATTTCCGGTTGGGGTTTACAATTTAGTTTTTTTTTTCGTTTCATTTTTCAAAAAAAAAAAAATTTTACACTGATCAATAGTGGGCCGCCACATGGTGTGGCCCGCTAAAAAAGTGATGAAATCTATCCCTCACAAGTTCACGGGAGAGAGTTGGAGAGGGACAGTATCATGGCTAGAAAAGTTTTTTAATATTTTTTTTTCGAAATCCGTGTGAACTTTTGCCATGTACTCTCAATGTACATGGTCTAAGATTTTACAGGCTAAAAGCCAAAAAAAAATGGCTGAAATGTTGATGGTAGGATTCGAATCATGATTCAGGCGCAAAGGAGATAAACTGTTTAACACTACGTACTCTAAACACCTTTTGTTATTTTGATATTTATTTGCGGTTGGAAGTCTTTGCTTCTTTTGCTTGGGCTTAGGGTAGGCGGTAAACGTAGAAAACACAAAATGCAAAACCGAAAAATAATAAGTTTATGACGCCTGCTTCAAAGCTGCGTTTCAGAAAATCTATCACATTGCTTACCAAAACATGCACACATCTAATTAACACTGAAACATCCGTCTCGCAGTCGCGGTTACATGTAAATCACGTAAGTCAAGTACTGTAACATGAGGAAGATATGTTTTAGAATAAGATGAGAAAATGCATGTGAC